CTCTTGATCGCCAGAGTTGCTGGTCTCTTGATCGCCAGAGCCAGAGCTGGAGTCGCCAGAGTCGCCAGAGTCGCCAGAGTCGCCAGAGTCGCCAGAGTCGCCAGAGTCACCAGAGCTGCCAGAGTCACCAGAGCCGCCGAAGTCACCAGAGCCGCCGAAGTCACCAGAGCCGCCAGAGTCGCCAGAGCCGCCAGAGCTGCCGAAGTCACCAGAGTCATCTTGCCTAGCTCTTAAGATGCCAATGAACTTGCTAGCTGTAGAAGGGGGTGGTGCGAAGGATAAGTTGCTTAGATCAGCGCCACCAGTTGGAAGCGCGGTGGGTGCGGCAGTCAAAGCAGGACCTGATGGCTTGCCGCTGATATCTTGGAGACCGGTCGGAGCAGCGGTACCGCGCGAGCCGAAAGCACTAGATGGGAAAGTGCCATCAGGGTAGCGGCCTCGGCCGTCGCTCACCCCACCATGCTCTTCGGTACCAGTGCTGCTCCGGCCCCTGACATGACCTCGGTGAGGAGCAGCGGAGGCTGATAGAATGAGTACGGCGGCGGCGATCGTTGCGAAACTGAAGCGCATGGCTGTTGTCAGATCGATTTCCAAGTGATGAAGTGCAAAGGGTGGAAGTTAAAGAAGTCTTTGCACAGCAAACGAGTGACTTGGAGAATAGAGGATCGTGACTAGCACAGAGCTTAATAGAAGAATTTCGAAGGATGTACTGCACAAGGAACGAGGGAGGTGTCGATGCCTACGAGGGCTGTTGAGGCTGGTCAACACAACATCTTTATACTCTGCCACCTTACCGAACATCTCTGTTTTTCGAAACGAGGCGCCTCCGCCAAGCTGTACATGATCGTTAAATCTTCACGGTCGCGCTTTGACGGCAGCTCTGCATAGATGGGTTGAATCGATCAACGTGATGTCTTGGCCATTCAAGTGCCCAGGGAAGCTTGATATCGTTCGCATGCGCTAAGCACATGTAAGAGCGACGAGCAGCAGGGTTTGGGAAACAGAACGATGTTGCGAAAATTCTCCGGTTCCGATGATAGTGAAGAGCGAAGATGATCGACGTATGGCTCAGCACTCAATGAGAAGAGAAAGCGCGTTTCAACACATGGATGGCTGAGCTTGGCTTGGTGCGAACAGATTGACGAGAGCGAGCATTGACGGTGCGACAGCGGAGACAGGCATGGTTGACAGCTCCGGGGCCATTGTTTCACGGCGAACGCTGTTTCATCAAAGATCCGCATGTCGAGAAGTCTTAGCGGAAGCGCGTAATCATGCACGATCTCGTCCTAACGAATGCCATTGGATCTTCGTTGACTCGCGGTAGCTGTGTGATACTCGTCGACTCGATGGTGTTCACGGCGGGCGGCATAGTAGCTGGGCGTCATGCTATGATGGTAGTCCTGCGACGTCAACAATGCCTGAGGCAGCGAAATTAGGTGCCCACCGGTACTTCAGACAGCCGGAGTGATTTGTATGTGGCAAGCGCTGAGAATCGCAACTTCCTCCTCGGTACAAAGTAGCAAGTCGGTCTCGATGAATCCCAATTACTGGCCAGGTTCTCTTTTGGAGGATACTTTCAACAGCGATCATAACCAGAAGGTTCTCGCAGTTGCTTTGAGTGCTCCGTTGTCTACGTCTTGGTCGTCGAGTCAATTCCAGCGCACGATCCATTCGATGCATTGTTGCGACTCTGCGACAGCAACATCTCATCGCCGTCCGCACGCATAGAAGATCTTCCATAGCGACTCAGCTGTTACCGGCTGTATCCGTGCGTCGTCGTAAAGGTACTCTCCGTGCAGCTGCTGATCGGTGGTGGTGTTGATCGAGTGTTCACAAGCGCAGTAATTTTCTACCCTCGGCTAACTAACAGCGTTGGCCCAGCCACACGGCGGGCGCCTTTCACGATGACGTCTGACAGAGCGGATCCGTCTCCGCCAAAGCCACCATGAAAGCGTTCCCCGCGTTCTTGTGCGCCCTTGTCGGTGTGCTATTCTCTGAGCAGCTTGCTCTTGTATTTCGAAACATTTCTGCTGGTCCGTCGGCAGCACCGTCAATATGAGCAGCTACACGTACATCTACAACTCGCAGCTCGATGCCTTCTCGCTCTACCATCTCACGCACGAGCAGGCGACGAAACCCAGCGCCCTCGGCCCAGCCCTCCCAGCCCTCGGCCATGCAACGTCGGGCGCGTTGGGCACTGCCATCTCGAAGCTCATCACGTACCCTCTCGACCTCGTCGTTGCGCGCCTCCAAGTTCAGAAGCAGCTTCAGGGTGAAAACGAAAAACCTCGATACGATGGCATTCTTGATGCGATTGAAAAGATCTACGAGCGCGAAGGGGGAATATCAGCCTTCTACAATGGTGTCCCGCACGAGGTATTCAAGGGCGTCACGGACAGCTTCCTGTTCTTCCTCGCGTACTCGTACGTGAGGCAGAACCGACTGGCTGCTCAAGGCGGACGAAAGAGCTTGGGCGCTTTGGAGGAGATCGGTGTAGGCGTGGTGGCCGGCGCCTTCTCCAAGCTGTGCACGACACCCATCCAGAACATTGTCACCAGGAAGCAGACGGCAGCCATGACTGCGCTCGACGGCAGCACAGGTATACCACCAGCGTCGAGCGCAAGAGACATTGCGTATGAGATCAGGAAGGAGAAGGGCTTGCAGGGCTTCTGGTCAGGCTACTCAGCCAGCCTCATCTTGACGCTGAATCCGTCCCTTACCATGCTGCTGCACAAGGTGCTGTTGCGACTCTTGGTACCGCATGGCAAGCGCGACGACCCCGGCGCACGAATCACGTTCTTGATTGCGGCGACGAGCAAGGCATTGGCCTCTACCCTCACCTACCCATTCCAGCTTGCGAAGACGCGGGCTCAGGTCTCATCTCAAAAGCCCAGCGACGCTTCCGGCGAGACATCTGAGTTCGAGAAAACAGAGAAGCCATTGCGGTCGAAAGCCGTTCGTGCCAGACAGCGCACTGTCTTTGCCACTATTCTGCGCATTGCACAGACCGAGGGCTTCCAGGGCTTGTATCAGGGTCTCGGCGGGGAGGTCCTTAAGGGCTTCTTCTCTCACGGCATCACCATGCTGATGAAGGAGCGCATCCACGCCGCCATAATTTCTCTATACTACAGCGTGCTGAAATCCATGGAACGCTTTCCCAATGCCGAACAGCTCAAGGAAATGGCAGCAGAAGGCATTGAAGACGGCAAGGGGCGTGTGAGCGATGCGTACACCAAGGGCGTGGAGGTTGCCGGACAAGCAGCGGAAAAGGTTCAGGAAGCTGTTGCACAAGGGTCTCAGCAGGCTCAGGACCTCTACGCGAGCAGCAAGGAGCAAATCAGTGAAGCGTACGGCAGGGCCACCGACACAGTGAGCAGTGGTTCGCAGCAGGCACAGAGCCTAGCGGAAGGCGCGAAGGAGCAAGCAAGGGGGGCATACAACAATGCAGCTGAGGCAGCTCAGTCTGTCTCGTCGACAGCAGAGGCACAAGCCAGCAAGATTGGCGATGCAGCACAGTCCGCCAGCTTGACTGCCCAGGACCCCGCTAGCGGTTCGTACGCAAAAGCCACTGATGTCACCGAGCCAGTGGCCTTGACAGCACAGGGCAAGGCCAGCGAGGTATACAACAAGTACGCCCAAGCGGCAGATTCTCCCACAGCCAGCGCCCAGCAAGCGGTCAGCACCGAATCGCAGTCTGTCAGTCTGGTGGAGAAGGGCAAGGAGATCGCCAACAATGCGCAGGAGCAGTCGAGAGACATTGCAGACAGTTACGGCAAGAAGGAGTAATGCTGAAGGCAGGGATCGAATGGTAGCAGACTGTATATATACCCAGGTTTTCTTCTCACGTGCATATGATAATTTCATGATGGTGTTCTGGGTTCCCCTGACGTGGCACGCGGCCCAACGTTCGAGAGTGCATGTGACGCCCGAAATCCTCTTCATTCACTCCAGGGATGAAGCGCGCTGGGGAGTGCGTGGAACCGCAACTCTGGTGAGCGGGCGAGAGGGGTTGTAGAAGCGTCCAGCCTGGTACTTTGTGATGATCGATAGGAACTGCAACCAGCCGCATCAATCATGTACCAGCCCCCAGCCCGCTCGGCACTCGTGCAGCGGGAGCCGCGACCAGCGCACGGCCGTTTCCACAGGGACAGCCAAACATGACGGCCATCCTGACAACACACCCCCCACCCGCGCACATCACGGCCGGGCGCGACTCACGACTGACTACTAACTACTAATCGGCACAGGGACAGGGAACCGACGACCACGGCGCCGCTGCGACAGGGAACAGCTGCCAGCAGATTTGCGTCTGGCAACGAACGGTGTGCACCGTCAACAACACGCCGATTCACCGCTGCAACCGTCAACAGCCCAGCCGCACCGCACCTGGAGGCCTCGACGACCCCGCCAGCTCTCCCACGCCACGCCTCTCGCTGCCGCTGCGCGAAGGACCGCACTACCACCACGACCGCGCTGGCAGTTTTCCGGACCCGCCCATTGCGCCAGCCCGCCCAGCCATCGCGGCGCGCCCTCCCCTGAGACTGCACTGCGACCGCCGCCGCACGTGTGCCTGCCACCATGGTGGGCGCAGAGATGCCGGCGTCCCCTCCGCCGCGCAGCAACGGCTTCGCCAGCCTGCAGGAGGAGCTGAACTACTACCGGACCGCCTACGAGACGCTCGACGCCGAGCTGCAGGAGTTCCAGTCGTCGAGCAAGGAGCTTGAGGCCGAGCTCGAGCGCGATGTCGAGGAGAGCGAGAAGCGCGAGCGCAAGCTGCAGGAGAAGGTTGAGCGACTGGGCTTCGAGGCTGAGGAGTGGAAGGTGCGCTGACCGTGCTGCTCTTGCCAGGGCAAGCGACTGACGATGTGGTAGACCAAGTACAAGCAGAGCAAGACGGAAGCGAACAACGCGCAGAACACACTGCAGAAGGAGATCACGGTCCTGCGAGATGCGCAGCGCACCCTGCAGCTCAAGCTGCGCGACATGGAAGTCCAGAACGACGACTTCGAGCGCCAGACGCGCAACCAGACGTCGTCGCTGGAGGACGTCGAGACCAAGTACAACGTGGCGATTGAGCGCGAAGTCATGTTGGAAGAGGAGATCAAGATCGGCGAGCGCGAGCGCGAGGGGCTGCGCATCGAGACGCAGCGCCTGCGCGACGAGCTGGCGGACTTGAAGATCGAGTCAGACATCACCCACGAGAAGCTGCGCCTGGCCGAGGCCAACATCGAGAAGCACCACCAGCGCGCCGTTTCCAACCACCTGGCCAAGGAGTCGCACTCGTTGCGACCGCGCTCGCCCGTGTCGGAGGCCTCAACCACCAATACGAACATGTCGTCGCCGACCGCCGCCTCTACGCCGCCGTACATGCAGTCCGACACGCTGCGCCCAGACTCGACGCCGCCCTCCCCGCCACTGTCCGATGCGCCCCTCGCGATACGGCCCATTCCGTTCAACCCGCCTTTCCCCACGCGGAAGGCCTCGATCGCATCGCGCGACCCAGCTGCCACCCCCAGAGCAGGCATATTCGCCCGCCCGCGACACACACGGCTGCCAAGTGTCTCGGGCATTCCTGGTGCAGCTGCAGGCGCTGGTGTACGGCGCACGCCATCGATCATGCGACCGCCCAGCGCCCACCAGAACCATGCACCACGGCCGTCTCGGCCCAGCATTGAAAATGGTCCGTCGGCAGCCGGCCTGCCAAGGTCTGGCTCCCTCTACCAGATCCGAGGGCTGATCGGCAAGATGCAGAAGCTGGAGGAGCGAGTGCACTCGGCACGCTCAAAGCTGCCCGCGCCGATGGCCACGCCCCCACGAGCGAGTCCGCGAGGCCCGAGCGCAGCCGGCAACTACCTCCCCACTTCAGTCTCGGTCAGAAAGCGTGCGTCTCAAGCCTCGACCTCAGTATCTTCCGTTGGAGAAGGCGCGAACGGTGGTGGTGTGAGCCGGCTCTCATTCGGCGTGCCGTCGAACACAAGCAACAGTCGACCCAGCAGCCGGGCCTCGATGTCATCCACACCTCAGCTAGCCAGATCGACAAGCAGACCCAGTCCCATCACCAGAAGCAGTACTACACGCACCCCCGGCACGCGAACACCTGGAGTACGCACTCCAGGCACTCGTACGCCCAACTCACGAAATCCGCTAGGTCATTACTCGTCAGCGTCGATGGGTGGGCGAATAGGAAAGGCCCCTCCTCCGATTCTGCACCTTCACGAAGGTCGTCAGTTTGGCCGTACATCTCTGAATCGGCATCCGAGTGACCAGGGCCATACCCAGAACCTGTCCCGCAGCGACACAGGCAGCGATGACGAAAGCGAAATCAAGACGCCGATTGGACGACGTTCAACAATGGAGAGGACCGGCATCCCAACGCCTGGGAGTGGCAGTGCTCTGCCACGAAGAACAAGCGTGAGCAGGAGGATCAGCGCGAGCATGGATGGCGGCATGGGGCCACCGGCGCGTCCCCGCAAGATGTCGACGTATGAGGAGGAGACGTACTAGGCTTGCGTGCTTTGCCAGTATTTGATTGGAGGCGTTCGAAGATTAGGGCTAGCATGGATTTGGCGTTGGAGCATTAGGCGCAACGCAGGTACCAGATCCAACGGGCAGCCCTTGTGCATAGAATTAGCAGGGAGAGTGCTGGGAAGAGCAGGCCATGTGCTGAACCATGGCGGTACATGTCATCTAGATACCAATACATCCCCTTTGTCAACACCACGATGCTCTTACAGTACAAGTACCACGCGAGCGGGTCAAGCTGGGTGAGAAGAAGCACAACGGGCGGTTTTCAGTGATCGTGGGCACGTTCATGACTACACGGAGTCGATGGCTCTCTGACTTGAGCACAGGCAAGCTGCACGTCTCGCTCGCGCTGGCAGAGTCAGGGTGGAACCGGCCGTGCTGGGGCCACTTTCACATGCCAAACGCCAGCAGTCAGGGCTCGACTTGGCGCTTTGTCTTTCAACAGGCGATGGGGAGACGGGGTGGGATGGTGCTGCACTCGATGAACAAGAGCTCGCAAAGGTAAACTCGATGCTCCTTTGCACAGCCATCGCACTCCACGAACAGCAGACTCGCAACTGACAGAGTGAGCGCACTCAGCCAGTACGCAACCCTCCACCAGGCCACGACGAAAGACGCCCTCAAACCCGTCACTAAAGAGCCCGCAGACGTCGAAATAAGCTCACGAACCGCCCGGCGCACAGTCGACATGCAGCAAGCGGCGGCTGGTGTCGCGAGGCCCAAAACCTGGGGTAGGCCGGGAAAAATCTTACGATGCCGTTGACATGTGAAAGGTACATGCAGCGGCCCGCACCGCACCGCTCGCATGCCCACCCCTCTAAGGCACCGGAACCCTGTATTGGTCGCTTGCCCCGTGTGCGCGTTCGGTAGCTTCGGAAGGAGGCTCGCGACTAGCTGCATGCTGCTCTGACGTAGGTGGTGGTGTTGTTGAGCACCCTGGTGTTTGTTGACGCTGGTGTTGCGCTCGCGGGTAGGGAGCGAGCGCTGGGTCTTGTCCCCCCTCTCTCCCTCAACTGGTGCAACACCACGCCGGCACAATCGTGCCTCTGTCAGCGTCATGTGCTGTTGCAGCAGCCTCTTGGTTACTTGTATTGCCCGTCTGGGGACTCTTCCGGGGCGGACAAGTCACGCGCTGATTGGGCGAGCAGCCGGAGTCCGGGTGTCGGCTGGTGGAGGAGAGCCGTGCAGGACCACGGTGCATGTCCATTACGGTATGTCCATGGCAACGGTAAGCTGATGGCGAGGCTGGGAACAAGAGCATCTCAGCAGCGGGCAAGATCACGTCGACAGAGCACAGTGCAAGCAATCTATCACAGGCATGGCATGCGCACGATAACAGTAAGTTACTAACGAGCAGGTGCGCATTGTTGAGGATGCGGGGGAGAGGGCAGAATGCTTGGGAGCGGAGCAGCGGCTGGTGCGAGGCCACTGAGCTGCTGCTGAGAGATAGCGAGGGCTCAACCGCGTCTTCAAATGGAGCGCGCAGATGGGTGTTGAGGGGACACGCAGGGCTCGCAACCAGGGACTAATGCGGAACGTCTCCCAACAGATGGCTCCCTGGCGAGGTCCACGATGGCAGCCGCAGAGCTCGCCCTGCGGCACGCGCCAGGCTGCAATTGCTGCTGGATTGCTGCCAGACGCGTGCTGGAAGATTCTCTCGGACAGCCAGCGGCGCCCGAGACGTCTGTGCGAGGCGACGGAGCAATGAGGACAGGGGGCGTCGTTGGCGGGCGAGGCGGGCGTGGAGGGTTAGTGAGGGCCACTACGGAGGGGTCCTGGTTGGGGCTAGGGCTGTCTTCGGCATCGTCGGTGATAGGAAGGCCCCGGCTTCAGCTCAACAGCTCGGGATGAGCTTGGGGAGTTCCGCGAGACCATGTCAGTGCTCTGCGGTCTCTGCGGGCAGGTCAGAAATTTAATAGGTACCCGGCCCTGCGTCTGCTCTGTTCTGCTTGCTCCCATCCCACGCTCCTTGCTGCCCTCCCACAGCGAGACTCGCTCCCATTGCCTCTTTCCCACACACACACACTCTCTACTTGCATTCGGTTGCTAGTACGGTAGCGTGTCAGGCTCCTTGTTGCATATTATACCCGCTGCTGCTTCCTCCCGGCACCGGCACGTACTGTAATCGACAGCTGCTGAGAATTGTGCCCCGGCTCCACTCTGCACACCACCACCACCACCGCAAACTAATATCCCCTCTGTCCGGACACTCCCACCGGCCAGCGCCCCAATCCCTTGCGAGCACCGCGGTATTTGCAGCTGCAGCTCCCCGCGCTCCTCCCCTCCCAGAGAAGCTCCGATCGAGGTTGATCGCCAGCCACTAGCCCGACCACGGTCACGCAGGGCGAATTGCGAATTGCACCTTTCCCCCCCTCCCCGGCACCATGGCGAGCGCAGCCCCCAACGGCGTCAGCGGCAGCGATGCCAGCGGCGCCCCGAGCAGCTACGCGGCGCAGTTTGAGCTGGCGCCGCACTTCATCGGCGGCAACCGCCTGTCGGCCGCCGCGCCCGGCAAGGTCAAGGACTTTGTGGCGGCCAACGACGGCCACACGGTCATCACGAACGTGCTGATTGCGAACAACGGCATTGCGGCGGTCAAGGAGATCCGCAGCGTGCGCAAGTGGGCGTACGAGACGTTTGGCGACGAGCGCGCCATCCAATTCACCGTCATGGCCACGCCCGAGGACCTGCAGGCCAACGCCGAGTACATTCGCATGGCCGACCAGTACGTCGAGGTGCCCGGCGGCACCAACAACAACAACTACGCCAACGTCGAGCTGATTGTCGACGTGGCCGAGCGCATGAACGTGCACGCCGTGTGGGCGGGGTGGTGCGTGTCTTTTCTTCTACGTGACGGCGATGAGACTTGAGTGCTGACCAATGCAGGGGCCACGCCTCGGAGAACCCCAAGCTGCCCGAGTCGCTCGCGGCGTCGCCTAAGAAGATCGTCTTCATCGGCCCGCCCGGGTCTGCCATGCGCTCGCTCGGCGACAAGATCTCGTCCACCATCGTCGCCCAGCACGCCCAGGTGCCATGCATCCCGTGGTCCGGCACCGGCGTCGACGAGGTCGAGGTCGACGCCCACGGCATCGTCACAGTCCGCGACGACATCTACGACAAGGGCTGCACAAAGAGTTGGGAGGAGGGCCTCGTCGCCGCCAAGAAGATCGGCTTCCCCGTCATGGTCAAGGCCTCCGAGGGCGGCGGCGGCAAGGGCATCCGCAAGGTCGAGCGCGAGGAAGACTTCGAGCAGCTGTACAAGGCCGCCGCCTCGGAGATCCCCGGCTCGCCCATCTTCATCATGAAGCTCGCCGGCAGCGCCCGCCACCTCGAGGTCCAGCTGCTGGCCGACCAGTACGGCAACAACATCTCGCTGTTTGGCCGCGACTGCTCCGTCCAGCGCCGCCACCAGAAGATCATCGAGGAGGCCCCCGTCACCGTGGCCGGCTCCAAGACGTTCCAGGAGATGGAGAAGGCCGCCGTCTCGCTGGGCCGCCTCGTCGGCTACGTGTCTGCCGGCACCGTCGAGTACCTGTACTCGCACGCCGACGACAAGTTCTACTTCCTCGAGCTGAACCCGCGTCTCCAGGTCGAGCACCCCACCACCGAGATGGTCACGGGCGTCAACCTGCCCGCCGCCCAGCTGCAGATCGCCATGGGCCTGCCGCTGCACCGCATCCGCGACATTCGCCTGCTGTACGGCGCCGACCCCCACACCTCCTCGCAGATCGACTTCGACTTCTCCACCTCCGGCAGCGTCCAGAACCAGCGCCGCCCGACCCCCAAGGGCCACTGCACCGCCTGCCGCATCACCTCCGAGGACCCCGACGAGGGCTTCAAGCCGTCTGGCGGCACCATCCACGACCTGAACTTCAGGAGTAGCTCCAATGTCTGGGGCTACTTCTCCGTCAGCTCTGCCGGTGGGATCCACAGCTTCTCCGACTCGCAGTTCGGCCACATCTTCGCCTACGGCGAGAACCGCCAGGCCTCACGGAAGCACATGGTCGTTGCGCTCAAGGAGCTGAGCATTCGCGGTGACTTCCGCACCACCGTCGAGTACCTCATCAAGCTGCTCGAAACCCCCGCCTTCGAGGACAACACCATCACCACTGGCTGGCTCGATGAGCTCATCACCAAGAAGCTCACTGCCGAGCGCCCCGACCCCATGATCGCTGTCATCTGCGGTGCCGTCACCAAGGCCCACGTCGCCTCCGAGGCGTGCATCAACGAGTACAAGACGTCTCTCGAAAAGGGTCAGGTTCCTTCCAAGGACGTCCTCAAGACCGTCTTCCCCGTCGACTTCATCTACGAGGGCTACAGGTACAAGTTCACAGCCACCAGGTCCACCCTCGACAGCTTCACGCTCTTCATTAACGGCTCCAAGGTGGCTGTTGGTCTGCGTGCGCTCGCTGACGGCGGTCTCCTGATCCTGCTCGGCGGAAAGTCGCACAACGTGTACTGGAAGGAGGAGGTGGGCGCCACTCGTCTCTCCGTCGACGGCAAGACGTGTCTGCTCGAGCAGGAGAACGACCCCACTCAGCTCCGCACTCCGTCTCCCGGAAAGCTCGTCAGGTTCACCGTGGAGAATGGCTCTCACATCAGCAAGGGCCAGCCCTTCGCCGAGGTCGAGGTCATGAAGATGTACATGCCTTTGATCGCACAGGAAGACGGCATCGTCAACCTGATCAAGCAGCCGGGAGCTGTTCTCGAGGCTGGTGACATTCTCGGTGTCCTCGCGCTCGACGACCCCTCCAAGGTCAAGTCCGCCCAGAACTTCCTTGGTCTGCTGCCCGACATGGGTACTCCTCAGGTCATGGGTAGCAAGCCCCCGCAGAGGGTTGCCTACCTGTCTGGCGTTCTCCAGAACATCCTTCAGGGTTTCGACAACCAGGTCATTATGCAGAGCACACTCAAAGAGCTCGTCGAGGTTCTCCGCGACCCCGAGCTGCCATATGGCGAGTGGAACGCCCAGGCTTCTGCTCTGCACGCACGCATGCCGCAGAAACTCGACGCCCAACTCGCACAGATCGTCGAGAAGGCTCATAGCCGTCAGCTGGAGTTTCCCAGCAAACAGCTCAGCAAGGCTTTCGACAAGTTCTTGGCCGAGAATGTTGCCAAGGGCGATGCTGAGCTCCTGAAGTCTGGTCTGGCTCCTCTTTTGGACGTCATCCAGCGCTACTCCGAAGGTCTCAAGGCCCACGAGTACAGCGTTGTACTCACCTACCTCGATCAGTACTGGGCTACTGAGCGCCTCTTCTCTTCTCGCAACTCCCGAGACGAGGAGGTCATCCTCAAGCTCCGTGACGAGAACCGCGATAACATCGCCAGCGTCGTACACACTGTTCTTTCCCACACTCGTGTCAGTGCGAAGAACAACCTCGTCATTGCCATTCTCGACCTTTACCGTCCCAACAGACCAGGCGTTGGCAACATCGCCAAGTACTTCAAGGGCACGCTCAAGAAGCTCACTGAGCTCGAGTCAAGGCAGACTGCTAAGGTGTCGCTGAAGGCTCGTGAGGTCCTCATCCAGTGCGCCATGCCTTCCCTCGAGGAGCGCACCTCGCAGATGGAGCACATCCTGCGTTCTGCCGTCGTCGAGTCACGCTATGGCGAGAGCGGCTGGGACCATCGTGAGCCCAACTTCGAGGTCATCAAGGAGGTCGTTGACTCCAGATACACCGTCTTCGATGTCCTGACCCAGTTCTTCGTCCACCAGGACCCTTGGGTTGCCCTTGCTGCTCTGGAGGTCTACACACGCCGCGCTTACCGTGCCTACCAGCTCCAAAACATCAACTACCACAACGAGGGCGAGCAGCAGTGCCTGCTCTCTTGGGACTTCGTGCTTCGCAAGGTTGGCGAGGCTGAGTACGGTCTTGCAGTGGAGCCTTCCGAGCCCGGCACGCCCGGTACACCCGGCTTTGAGCGCCCACCTCGCATCCACTCCATGAGCGATCTGTCCGCATGGAACGCTCGCTTCGAGAACGAGCCCACAAGGAAGGGTGTCGTTGTCCCTGTCGAGTACCTCGATGATGCCGATGAGTACCTTGCTAAGGCTCTTGAGCTGTTCCCCTCTGTCGGTGCCTTTAAGAAGGGTGGCGTCAGCCTCAAGGACGGTCTTTCGCTGAAGCGCACCCCAACCAGCGGCGTCAACGTCCCCAAGCAGAACACCGACGAACTCACTGGTGTCCTGAACGTCGCTGTTCGCGACATTGAGGGCATCAACGACGAGGAGATTCTCGAGCGCATTCTGCCCATTGTTGAGGAGTACAAGGAGGAGCTCCTCGCGCGCCGTATCCGCCGCCTCACTTTCATCTGCGGCCACAAGGATGGCACATACCCAGGCTACTACACCTTCCGTGGCCCCACCTACGTGGAGGACGACAGCATTCGTCATGTCGAGCCCGCCCTTGCCTTTCAGCTTGAGCTCGGGAGACTCTCCAAGTTCAACATCAAGCCCGTCTTCACCGAGAACCGCAACATCCACATCTATGAGGCTGTTGGCAAGGGTGCTGAGAGCGACAAGCGCTACTTCCTGCGTGCCGTCGTCCGATCTGGACGTCTCCGCGAAGAGATCCCTACCGCCGAGTACATGGTCTCTGAAACCGACAGGTTGATGACTGATATTCTGGATGCTTTGGAGATTGTCGGCACTTCGCAGGCCGACATGAACCACATCTTCATCAACTTCTCGCACGTCTTCCCTCTGGATCCCACAGAGGTCGAGGAGGCGATTGGCGGCTTCTTGGAGCGCTTCGGTCGCCGTCTCTGGCGTCTTCGTGTCACCGGTGCTGAGATTCGCATCATCGTCACCGACCCCCAGACCGGCATCCCCTACCCTCTCCGTGTCATCATCACCAACACCTCTGGCTACGTCATCCAGGTTGAGATGTACGCGGAGCGTAAGTCTGAGAAGGCTGGCAAGTGGCTCTTCCACAGCATCGGAGGAACCACCAAGATCGGTGCGCTCCACCTCCAGCCGGTCACCACTGCCTACCCAACCAAGGGTGCGCTCCAGCCCAAGAGGTACAAGGCCCACCTCATGGGAACTCAGTACGTTTACGATTTCCCTGAGCTCTTCCGCCAGGCTACAGAGAACAGCTGGACTGCGGCAATTGCTAAGCACCCTTACCTGCGCGACAAGGAGCCAGCGAAGGGTGACTGCCTTGAGTACTTCGAACTGGTGCTCGACGACAACGACAGCCTGGCTGAGGTAAACCGCGATCCCGGCAACAACAACATCGGTATGGTTGGTTGGATCGTTACAGCCAAGACGCCCGAGTACCCTCGTGGTCGCCGATTTATCATCATCGCCAACGACATCACCTTCAAGATCGGTTCGTTCGGACCCCAGGAAGACAACTTCTTCCACAAGTGCTCCGAGCTTGCACGCAAGCTCGGCATCCCACGAATCTACCTGTCGGCTAACTCTGGTGCTCGCATTGGTCTTGCTGAGGAGCTCATCCCTCACTTCTCGGTCGCTTGGAAGGACGCCAACAGGCCCGAGGCTGGCTTTGACTACCTTTACCTTACCCCCGAGAAGTACGAGCACTTCGTTGATGGCAAGCGCAACGATGTCATCTGCGAGAAGGTCGAGGAGGCTGGTGAGACTAGATACAAGATCACCACCGTCATTGGTCAGGAGGATGGCCTTGGTGTTGAGTCGCTTCGTGGCTCTGGTCTCATCGCTGGTGAGACCTCGAGGGCTTATGAGGATATCTTCACCATTACTTTGGTGACTTGCCGCTCAGTTGGTATGTTACACCCCTTCATGAATCAGAACACGATGCTAATCATGTACAGGTATCGGTGCTTACCTTGTCCGTCTCGGACAGCGTGCCATCCAGATCGAGGGTCAGCCCATCATCCTCACCGGTGCTCAGGCTATCAACAAGCTGCTCGGTCGCGAGGTCTACACCTCCAACCTTCAGCTTGGTGGCACCCAGATTATGTACAGGAACGGTGTTTCTCACATGACTGCCGATGACGACTTTGAGGGTGTCTCCAAGATCGTCAAGTGGATGTCGTACGTGCCTGACAAGAAGAACAGCCCTGTTCCCATTTCGCCTACAGCGGACGACTGGGACCGCGATGTCACTTACTATCCACCTGGCAAGTCTGCCTACGATGTCAGGCATCTCATTGCCGGAAAGGACGATGCAGATGGCTTCCAGTCTGGTCTCTTCGACCGCGGCTCTTTTGAGGAGAGTCTGGGCGGTTGGGCCAAGACTGTCGTTGTCGGTCGTGCTCGCCTTGGTGGCATCCCTGTTGGTGTCATTGGTGTTGAGACACGCGCGGTCGAGAATGTTACCCCTGCCGACCCTGCCAACCCTGACTCCATTGAGCAGGTTGCTTCTGAGGCTGGTGGTGTCTGGTACCCCAACTCGGCTTTCAAGACCGCTCAGGCTATCAATGACTTCAACCACGGCGAACAGTTGCCTCTGATGATCCTTGCCAACTGGCGTGGTTTCTCTGGTGGTCAGCGCGACATGTACAACGAGGTCCTCAAGTACGGTTCGTACATCGTCGATGCTCTCGTCAAGTTTGAGCAGCCCGTCTTCGTCTACATTCCACCTCACGGTGAGCTGCGTGGTGGATCCTGGGTCGTCGTCGACCCTACAATCAACCCTGAGTACATGGAGATGTATGCTGACGAGGACTCTCGTGGTGGTGTCCTCGAGCCCGAGGGTATCGTCGGCATCAAGTACCGTAAGGAACGTCAGCTCGACACCATGGCACGCAATGATTCCACCTATGGAGCTCTCAAGCGCAAATTGAACGATCCTACAACACCTCAGGATCAGCTGCAATCCATAAAGGCCGAGATGACAAAGCGCGAGGAGCTTCTCCTCCCAATCTACGGCCAGATTGCTATTCAGTTCGCCGACTTGCACGACCGCGCAGGCCGCATGAAGGCCAAGGGCGTCATTCGTCAGGCTCTGAAGTGGCAGAACGCAAGGAGGTTCTTCTACTGGCGTCTACGCCGCAGATTGAACGAAGAGTACATCCTCAAGAAGCTCGCGTCCGCTGCTGCCCCCTCGGAAGCTTCGCCCAAGCCCGACGCCATTACACGCGCTAGGTCCATGGAGATGCTCAAGGCATGGTCGCAAGTGCCGCAGTTCGAGAACGACGACATGAGCGTCGCCACGTGGTACGAGGAGAACCGGAAGACGGTCCATGAGCGCGTCGAGAAGCTCAAGAGCGACGGCATCGCGCTGGAGATTGCCAACTTGATGCGCAAGGATCGCGAGGGTGGCCTCAAGGGCGTCTTGGCGCTGCTCAGCACGCTGCCGACGGGCGAGAAGGAGGAGGTCATCAAGCTGCTGGCTAAGGCTTAGACAAGCGGACGCTGCGTCTGAGTCTGAGGTGAAGCTGAGGATTGTGTAAAATAGGTATAGATCGGAAGACGGGGGTGTTGCTGCATTTTTGTCGGCGCGTTTGGCTGGTATCTCATGATGATGATGAGGACTGGACTGGGCTGGGCTGGCGCGACTGCCGTTTAGCGTTGTTGTAATCTCTTCTACGCAATATAGTGTTCCGCGGTGGATGTGTGGGCGATGGAGTTGGGAGGCTCCGAGCTCGCCTGAAGCTGCAATGTATCACGTTCTAACCACTCGTCGTTGTCTGCCAGTGTCTGTGGAGTCGATCACTCGAGATTGACGATGTCCCCGCTACGTACATATTCTACTAGTCATGCCGCAATTGTGATGCTTTCACTCACTTTGGACAGGCTTTGGAGGCTCCTCTAAAGGCTTCCTACCGTGCAGGCCGGTCCTCACTCGTTTGTGTACTCCACTTCCCTGTGATCGCTACTCCACTTTCCGCACACTCAGCTCACAATGATCCGTAGCGATTCCCGTGATTCTCGCAAGGCCAATCAGCACATCGCCGTGCCTGGTGTGTACATAGCTGTAGGGCCAGCAGTCTCCCACGCTTTTTCATTCTTGCCGTCTAGGGAAGCTGCCCAACGCCCTAAGGCGCCTCGGCGGCTACTAACCAGATCAGATCTGGGGACGAATTCCAGTAGATATTCACACCTGCAGTGTACTTGCCCCGTTGGGAGGTTATTTGAACGCTTTCGGGTCAACTTGGAAGGCGTGTGGGTGGCTGGAAGCAAGTTGCGTGTATGCCGTGTGCTGCATCGAGTCGGCGCCGAGGATGATATGATGACGGCCAATTAGTGGGCCAAAACTCTCGGATTAAGATTCCCCCAATCCGCGCTGGTGCGGGCAAGCCGCCGTGTGTATGAATCTGCGCAGCTTTCCAATCAGTGGACCCGGAAGAAACTCACTATCATCCATCAGCCATCGATGCTTCACGCAGACTTGCTGTGTTGGGAGCGTTGAACTGACGACCTGTTCACGCGAGGTGGACGCTGTGCATCATCTTCCAATCAGCGGATCTTCATATACATGTTCGGAGAAGATCCACCTCTAGGGTGAACTCTGTTGTCTGAGTATTCCCCCTACCGCGTCAGACAGACGGTGACGAAGTCACACTCCTTGCCCACGCCATCGCCCGAGCTCCCCACAGCCAGCGACCGCAAACAAACTCAGAACAAGAGTCTGCTGCTCTTGTGATAGCGGGAGTCGCAATAATGGGTCTTGAACTAAGTGCCACGCCTATCACGCGACATGTCTCAACTGGGAAGTAGCACAGGCCAGGAACATCTATCGCGATTGTCACAGGCGCAAATCTTTGCCATCCCTGCTGTCTTCGACACTTCCTGCATCCTACTGTAATAGGCAATCACAGTTTTCTCGGTCAAATTGGCCGACCGTCGTCTTGGTTAGCCGAGGCCAGGATGTTTGTGTGGCTGGAGAGAACAGGTTTAAAGCATGTAGCACAGGGTAAACGCCATACCGCTGTTCATGGTATATAGCATACATCGGGACTCGGTGAGGTAGACTTTGAGTGGAGTTTGTTGGGCGAAGGAGTTCACGAGAGTGGACATGCAGCTCTGGCACTGGGAATGCCAAACGCTGCCACCTACTTGCTAGAGAAAGGGACGTAGAGATGTGCGCAGAAGGAGAGATTTCCCTACTTCCGGCTGCCTTCTGGTGCTCGTCATCTGTACGGAGGCAAAACTTGACGCCGTCACCGCTCCTCAAAGCAGCCCAGCATACATGCTCGCTGAAGTCTACGGCATACACACTGAACATCTGATCCAGTCTTGAGGCAAGAATGACAAGTATTGAGAGGATTCAAGGGTTGGTTGAGGGATTACCTAGTCGCTCGCGTCGTGGGGATGTTCAGACGCAATCGCGTCATTCCGACTACGTGGGAGGTGTTGAGTGTCCATCTGCGCAACGTGTTCGTTAAGTCAACTCGCCAAAACGTACAGCTCCCCTTGCAGTGAACACAGGCATGTTCGGCACCAAAAGAGCACATCCTCAATCCTGTAGAATCCATCATCCGTGGAAGGTGGAAGTTTTGCGGTGGAGTGAACAGTGCGCACATGCAGGAAGAATTGAAGGATTGAACTGAGGTTGTATTGTGTGCAGCTACGAACAGTAGATATACACGAGTGACTGTAAACAGTGCTAGTGTAGGATGGGTAGTCGCATCTCACCGAAGGTGAGGTGCGGTTGCCTATGAGGCAAGAGAGACTCAAACCGTGACAGGAAGCGTCAGTGCAATCCTGCGACCGCGACATCTCCACGCTCCTACTGGTGGAGAAAGCCCCACCAGCATTGCACGCAGCCCCAGAACCTACCGGGTTTGCAAGGTTGCGGTGGGAAGGGCCTGCAATTCGACTCGCCGGGGTTGAAGGTAGATGTTGATTGGGCGGTCGCGCCGGTCGGTGAACATCCCCGGAAACCAATCAGTGACATAAAGGAAAGGGAGTTGCCATGATGCCGTCTGACGGGGATCAGCGGTACCGTGATCCTGACCCCTGGGAAACAATTCGCACACGCTGACAGATTTTTTGAGCTGCACGTCTTGACGAGAACATGGTCTTCATTCGTTGATGGGTTATGTCTGTGTCAATTGGGACGGCATTCGCCCAGTTAATGCTGTAGCCAAGACCTCTGTGAGAGAACCCGCGGACCTCTGCTTAATAACGAGAGTGCGATCATGGATTAAATCAACTTTGCTGATTCGACATTGCTTTCAAAACGTCGTGTTGTGGATACCCATCAGATATCGTAGGATTTCTCTGCGCTTTCAATGTGATGTCTCTCAACACATGACAGGAGGTTAAAGCCAGTATCTCTCTATTCGTGTCGGCTCGAACAAATTCACTGAGGTATGATTGGCGGGCTCTCTCACCTAAAATTTCGATACTTTCACGGGCACTACCGCATCATATACGGTATGAGACGTTGGCTGCGTGGCAGGAAGTGGGAAGCACGAGTCAGTACAAGGAATAGCCCATGATCTGTAAGGAGCTGTTGAGGCGTGTGTATCAATTGGGGAGGCAGATGCAAGATTCCTACCAACCATGTAGGTTTGGGGGAAGGGGCGTGCGCCTGGAAGGGCACAAGCCGACCAGGAACCTACGTGAAGCCGATACAGAAGATTGTAACTGTCATGGTTATGTCGAGTATTGCCGGTTCTACTCACAACAACACGATCTTTTCAAGCTTGTTCTCGTCCCATGTCTCCCCATGCATGATGTCCGGAACGTATGCATCTCCAACGAAGCGGTACCGGCATGGTCTACTGCCTTTACTGTTCCTAGGCTTGTCGAAGTTGGTATCGTGAAGTGGGCGTAGAACCGAAGGTACTCGGCCCCCTGGCATAGTAACAATAGTTTCTCCTTGCACTGATTTCATCGGCACAAAGCCATGTAGCGTGTTTCTGATATGGCGAACACTCTACACGCATACGTAATCTCCGCAGCATAGGCAAAGTTGCGAACCTCCGCGCTGGTCTGTAATTCAGGTAGATCGTTACAGGCCCACTCAACATACGCGTCCATTGCAACTTCGTCTATGCCTAATTCGTAGGCACGGTGTCGTCCTGGATGAAGGCCGCCACAGAGTGTCTCGCAGAAGGCGCGGACATTCCATTCGTACAGACCTTCGTGTCTTGACAGGTTGACAAGTCCATTGTAGTGTAGCCAAGCGTCAAGCGGCCTTGAGCCAGCAGCGCTTGGCATCAGCCTGGGAATCGAATCGATACATACAGCACTTGTGAGCGTCTCTCGCATGCTCGTGAGCACGAGGTCTGCCTCGTGGTCCTGTGATGCATTGTAGTGTGGGTGTGTCTACACATTGAAACGGTACACGGCGTCCGCACTGCAAGATTATTCGCTGCGCAAAGGCACACTCTTGCAATGTTCATAGACGAGACACCAAGGTAAAGTCAAAAACTCAAATAACGCAATGAGCATCTGCGGAGACGTGGCATCGATGCCAAAAGAGCAAAAATTTGGTCCGACTTCGGCGGTGAAGTGAAGCTCGGGATGTTCGCTGACCCTTTTGATCATCTTAAAGAGTTTTTCGACACCCCTCTCAGGCTTCACTCAGAAACACAACAACCGTTGAGGCTTGCGCATAGATGTGCTTCATCTGGGAGACCTGGGAGGAGTGTTCGGAGGAGTCACCCTAGTTGATGCAAAGCGCGTCTGCCCACATGACAGAGATGTTCCAGGGCGGAATGTAGATTGCTGGTGAATGGTCTCGAGTGACCCTTTAGCTCCACCACCGCGTCACTCTCTCTGTCACCCCAGACGTAGGAAAGCGCTTCGAACTGGGGCTCGTCGTCCAGCGACACTATACTGAAAGCACATCGAATACCTTCGCCATTCGTGTCTACCTCAAGACTTTGCTTGATTGCGTGGGCGTAAGGCTCGGCTTTAAGCGCTGGGAGCAGGTGAAGCAGACAGATCTGCCGCTTCGTCTCGTCCAAGGGTGTATAGATATAGGTGGTACGTAGCACCTCCATTTTGGCGGTGACAACGCGCGGTCACAAAGCAGGAAAGGGCTGTCAAAATAAATGTCGACTGGGCTGAAGGAAGATCAGCTTTGGCTAGCCAGTTCCCTTGCGCTGAAGAGTGAGGCTTCACTATAACAGCTCCAAATACGGAAGTCGGGCATTGTGTTCATGTAGGGTAGAGTTCCTGATTACACTGCCTTCGAAAGAATTGCAGACAAGACTTGCTACACCTTCTCTTTGGCGATCTCTTGATCGGGGCCAACGATTTAGTGAAATCACGCTAGTGCTGCCGGCTTGGCTTGGCAAGGAAGGCGCGTCTCGCGAAGTGGCAGGCGCGTCGCGGGCAGTGAGGGCAATCAACGCCAACACCTACCCTCACGCGCGCCCCGCCATGTCCTGAGCGACACCGACGTGATCGCATTGCCACATAGACTGCGACCTCATTGGTTCTTACCGCAACGAAGCTGCGCGCAGTGACCGCGCCCCACCGCCGCCATGGGTTACATCAAGCAGATCACCGTCCAGGGCTTCAAGAGGTGTGCAAGCAGACGTATTGACGGCGAGCGCAGTTGACATAAGTCTAGCTACAAGGACCAGATGCAAATTGAGCCTTTCTCGCCCAACTGCAATGTCATTGTCGGTCGCAATGGTTCTGGTAAGAGCAACTTCTTCGCCGCTGTGCGCTTCGTCCTTGGCGACGACTACAACTTCCTGAACCGCCAGGAGCGCCAGGCGCTGCTGCACGAAGGCTCCGGCTCGGCCGTCATGTCGGCCTACGTCGAGGTCTGCTTCGACAACACCGAGGACCGCTTTCAGACAGGCAAGCCTGAGTTCTTCCTGCGCCGGACGATCGGCGCGAAGAAAGACGAATACTCGGTCAACCGCAAGAACGCTACCAAGGCCGAGGTCATCCAGATACTCGAGTCGGCCGGTTTCTCACGTTCGAACCCATACTACATTGTACCCCAGGGTCGTGTAACGGCGCTCACGAACATGAAGGACAAGGCTCGTCTCGAGATGCTGAAGGAGATCTCTGGTTCCAACGTGTACGAGACGCGCCGCTCTGATAGTCTGAAGCTGTTGACAGATACGGATAACAAGTGTACCAACATCGACAGCGTGGTCGAGTCGATCAACGAGCGTCTGGACGAATTGGAGGGCGAGAAGGAGGAGCTGGAGGCCTGGAGCAAGAACGAAAGGGAGCGGCGGTCTCTATTGTACACTATGCACTCGCGAGAAGAGGCTGAACTCGAAGCCAAGATCGAACACATTGATTCCCTCGAGCACCATGGCCGCGAGATGCGCGAAGACAATGAGGAGACCTTCAGGCGGAATGAGGACGCCATTACCCGACTCGAATCCGAGGTCAACCAGCGAAAAGGCGATCTCGACATCCTGCGACAGGATCGGATACAATATGAGGGTGAACGCAAGGCAGCTACCTTGGAGAAGGCCAAGATTGAGCTGGACCTGAAAGCCGTACAAGACAGCCAGTCATCTGCTCAGCAGAGCAGGAGCAGACGCGACGGTCAAGTCAAGACGTTGCAGCAGCAGATCAGAGCTCGCCAGACCGAGCTCGGCCAACTCCTCCCGCAATTCGAAGCAAAAAAGGAGGAAGAAGAGGCTGTTCGTGCACAGCTGCTTGATGCCGAGGGTCAGTACAAGCGTCTCCAGGACAAGCAGGGTCGAACAGCACATTACAGCAACAAGCGGGAACGAGACACAGCTCTGCGCACACAGATCGACGAGACGAATGGAGATCTTAGCCGTCGGAAAGCTGTTCTGATGCAGACGAACGAAGAGATCACTGAGCTCCAGAGCGACATCGAGCGCATCGAGGGCGAGATTGCTGAGCTGAGGCAGGCGATTGACAACGAGGGCGACGCTGCTGTGGACCTCGCTGCGCAGCTCGAAAAGGCCAAGGATGCAAAGAAGACTATCGCCGACAAGCAGACCAGCCTTTGGCGTGACCAGAACAGGCTCAGCAGCCAGCTCGGGAACGTGCAGAAAGACCTCCACATGGCAGAACAGACATTCTCGCGTCTGCTTGACCATGGTACCAGCCGCGGTCTCGAGTCGTTACGGAGGTATCGCAGAGATGGGCTGCAGGGAGTCCACGGTACCATTGCTGAGCTTCTTCGGGTGCCCGAAAACTACCGGTCGGTCACAGAAAGCGCCGCCGAAGCCGCCCTCTTCCACGTTGTTGTCGAAGACGACACTGTGGCGTCTAAGATTATGGACCGTCTTACCAAGGACAAGGGCGGTCGTCTTACATTCATCCCCTTGAACAGGATCAGCGTCCCGGCCAACAATCTGAGGGCGACAGAGAACATGCAACCTCTGCTTCCGAAGCTCGTATATGATGATCGCTTTGAGGACGCCTTCAGACACGTCTTTGGCAAAATTGTTGTCTGTCCAACGCTCGACGAATGCAAGCGTATCGCCAAACAGTACAACGTTCGAGCCTACAGCCCAGATGGAGACAACGCGACAAGGAAGGGTCAGTACAGAGGTGGTTTCCACGATCCGTCTCGGTCGAAGATCATGGCCTTCAGCGCTGTTGCTGAGAAGCGTGCACTACTTGAGGAGTTGCAGCAGAAGAATCGCGACATCGACAAACAGCTGGACTCCATCAAGCAACAACTTACTGCGGCACAGAGTGAGCTGCTCAGAAGACAAAACGACCAAAGACGGGGAGAGACTAGCTACGCGCCTATGCGGGAGGAAGTTCGAGTGAAGCAGAGCCTATTGCAAGATGCACGAGATACGCTGGCGAAGAAGCAAAGAACAGCCACAGATCTCGAGGCTGCCATCAATCTGCTCGGAGCACAACAGAGCGACTGGGAGGACGAAATTGCTTCAAAATTTACAAAGGCGTTGTCGAGCGATGAAGAGCAGATGCTGGTTACATTGACCAGCACCGTCAAAGACCTCAAGAAACAGTATGCGCAAGTGAAGCAAGAGCGAGCTGCGATCGAGACACAGAAGATCGAGGCTGAACTCGAGCTGAACCAGAGCTTGCAGCCCGCCCTGGATGACTTGCTCGCTCAGCAAGGAGGTGCAGGAGGCCCCGTGGCCCAATCGACAGGTCTGCGAGAAGCAAAGCGTTCCTTGGACACCATCAACAAGACCATCGCCGATCTGGATCAGCAAATTAAGGAGACCGATTCTCAGATCGACGAGATTCAGGCTCTGATGGAGCAGCTGGAGACCGAAAGGAATGAGAAGGAGCAGAACAACCGTACTCTTGCTGCTGCTATGGAAAAGCAGGAGAAGTCTTTATCGAGGAAGGATGCAGATCGCAGTACCTACACTGCGCAACTCACCAAAGTTCGCAAAGAAATTCGAGATCTGGGTACGCTACCCGAAGATGTTGGTCGCAAGTACAGCAAGTGGAATATGGAGAAGGTGAGAGGTACTGGACCATCAACTTCACCGACAGCTGCTAACACTGCTTAGATCACGAAGGAACTTGCAAAGACCACCCAGGCTCAGAGGCAGTTTGCTCACGTCAACAAGAAGGCTTACGAACAATACGAGAACTTCACAAAGCAACGGAGAACCCTCACAGACCGCCGCGCTGAACTCGACTCGTCACGCAAATCCATTGAGAACCTCATCGGCGTGCTTGATCAGCGAAAGGACGAAGCAATCGCCCGTACCTTCAAGCAGGTGTCCGCCGCCTTCAAGAGTGTCTTCCAGGAACTCGTTCCCATCGGCACAGGCCGTCTCGTCATCAACCGTAGATCAGATGGCGCCCAAGACGAGGCTGACAGTGAAGACGAAGCCCCCACACAAGCAGCCAGGAAGAAGGGCTCGAAGATCGAAGAATACGTCAGCGTCAGCATCGCCGTGTCATTCAACTCAAAGCACGACGAGCAGCAGAAAATCGGCCAGTTATCTGGTGGTCAGAAGTCGCTCTGTGCACTTGCGCTCATCTTTGCCATCCAGCAGTGCGATCCAGCGCCTTTCTACCTCTTTGATGAGATCGACGCCAATCTCGATGCCCAGTATCGCACAGCTGTTGCCAATATGCTGCAGAAGCTTAGCGGCCAGGGCGGCCAGGATGGCAAGGGCGGTGGACAGTTCATTTGCACGACGTTCAGGCCAGAGATGGTGCTTGTCGCCGATAGGTGCTACGGCGTAACATATACAAACAAGACAAGTAGCATCGACGTGGTGGATCGCGAAGATGCGCTGGGCTTCGTAGAAGGCATGCAGAAGTAATTGTAAGATGCAGTTCAACGAGTCTCCAAATACTGGCTTGTTTTCCACCGCAATCAGGATAGTGGCGTTCTACAATACCAATGGTCTCATCCTTTCAATCAATCTCCCATACGTGATACGTTGCTGCCTGTCTTGTCTGCCTCGCTGTGCCTCGCTGTGCCTCGCTTCAGAAAGACTGTGCATTCGTATTTCCAACGGTAGAGCTGGAATCGATAAGAACGTAAGATTTAGTCGAATCGTCTCTGTAAGGTGGCACAAGAGCTGCGTGAATGCTATCTAACCGCCACAAGGATCTTCGAATCAGTACACGTTCTCTGGGCGCCAGGTATCCTGGAGCTCACAAATCTGTGTACGACATCCTGGTCTAAAACTGATATTGTCCTGTAATGCAGGACTATTGACTCTGCTACGATAGTCCAATCACCAATGACAGCTCGAGCTATTGACTTGGTTGGCCCCAGGCTATTCACGACTTGACTGAAACTATACACTACAACTTGGTGGACATCCATTGCCGAAGAGGGCCGGATTCTAGGGAGATCTTCAACTTCTGACTCGAGGCTTGTAGATCGGATGAGGGAACATTGTAGTAGCTTATGCCCAAGTTGACAATCTGCCAGTGGGACGCCGATTCGCTTGAAAACACTTCCCACGCTGAGCCCCGGAAAATTGTCTTATCCTCGAGGATCGCGCATTGTGGAGACCTGTGAGATCGACGCAGTGACGAGCTCGGTGCTCACCTGTATTGGGGAAACTTTACCGGTGCCTTTGAACGATTGGATGCTGGACAGCAAACTTACACGGCCCTGTATATAGACATTCGAATGAGCCGTTGAAAAATGGGGGCATCAGGTCGTGGTTTGTAGCCTGGTGAACGTTTCCAGGTCACTCGGTCGCTTGCTGCACAACTCAGTGGCGTATCGAGAACACGAGCCAACTATTGACATGCGCAACGGTACGGGCGGCGGTAACGCTCAGATGCTTGCCACATCTAGGCTATCTGTGCGCATGGAGCACTTCTCGTGTGCACAGCATGGCATTCTAATTGGCAACGGGGAAAACAGCCTGGCTCGTGAACCGAAGCAAGGCCCGCAGGCCACATTCATCGCCGCTCCATCAAGACCCACAGTTACCTATCTATGATGTGTGAGAGAGAAATATGCACGGATGCACATGCAATTCTTGCAAGTGGGCCATGGCATTTAAGAAGTTTGCGATGATTGCACGGCGGAAGTGTTGAAAGCGGATCGGCACTACAACACGATGGCGGCAACGCAGAGTCAGGGTTCGCTGCAGTCAGCCCTTGTTCAGTGCGATACATCCCACGCTGTGTGCAGTTATAAGAGCCTGCGTGTACGAGTCAGTAAGCAGCCATTCTCGTTGCCGAGTCAGTACCCGTGTCAAAAGATGCCTCCGACACCCAGCACTGGCGATGTGGTCGATATGGATTTGAGATACAATACCTTACCCCGCAAAAGACAATGGACATACTAGTTGCTATTGCATTTGGCTGTTGGTCAACCCGCCACGGGCCTCGGGCTTCCTGAAACAGAAAGGGTCGAAATGGAAGCCCTACTTCTCATCCATAGCGACTGGGGTTTGGGCGTCATGTCACAGGCTTAGCCGCGTTCCTGGCGGACTGAATCTGGGCCCGAAGTGTTTGTAAGCGTCTGTCTTTGCGAGCTAGCATACGTATCGCTGGCTAAAGAGAAAGGGACTTTCGACCCTTGTAGCTGCCAGCACCTCGCTCACACACGCTAAGAGCGGGTGAGAATACAGGTCCTGCAGGAACTCAACCAATGTTGGGAAGCTCAAGGAAACGGTAGTGCGCACATTGTCTTGACTCGGTGCAGTCTCCACGGCAGTCACAGTTGCGACTCGCTGCACCGGTAGGTGAAGCGGCACGAACCTCAACAGAGGTGGCCTTCTCCACCTCAATAGAGGAGAAGGCCAGTAGTGGTGATCGCCTTCGTTCAAATGTTTGGTAAGGTTGGCACACCAAGCCGATCAAAGAGCTTGATAAAGCGCTGCGTAAGAGATGGAGCGGGAGCGCTGCGTTCAGATTTGCGCATTGCCAACTAGCTCAATTGAGTGCACACGGAAGCGACACCTGGAGCTAGCGGGTCCCTTCCGTGGAGAAAATGGCCAATAGAACACGTGCTGTTATTCAGGTGGTTTGAAGCGACAGGGTGCAGGCACCAAGCGTATCCCATCGAGAAGACGGAAAGCCGCTTGCAAGCCAGCGAAATCCTGCGCTTTCCCATGCCGCGACGCTCTGGGAATCGGCGATCGCGACCGATCAGTGACGTAAAGCGTGCGCGCTTGCCCAATGACGACCCCTGCCCGCACCACCTGCCGGACATAGCGCGTTGCATGCGAAAGCTGAGGAATTCGATCTCGGGCGCTGTCCCCATTGTTGGATTCCCATGTTTTGTAGCTCCTGCCGCCTGATCGTCTCCTCCTTCTTGACTCCCCCTCCTCCTCCTCGCGCTCGGTGCGATTCTCCAACTACCCCATTCGTGCAATCTCGGTCCAATCGTCAAATTGTTCCACGACGTTCCCTGGTGTCATCTACCCTACGTTACTGCCACAGAGCCAGCACTAAGCAAAGAGCTGCCATTCGGAACGCTCTGTGAACCCTACCGTTGCTGTATTCCGCGACGCACATTGCCAGACCTCACGAACAGACCACCTTACCCCACAGCATTGGACCTTCACCATGATGGAAGTCCAGCATCCACAGTCTTTTGACTGGGCCAATGACGCCTACGCTGCCTTTAGCGACGCATCAAAACACGAAAATAATTGGGCGGCTCTCAATAGCAGTTCGGCCTCCATGGACTCCACAGCCATATTTACCATACCTCCGGCTCTTCTGACCAACTCAACGGCACGTTTCGGCCAGATCACTCCACCTGAGGAGCGTTCGCCTGCAGATTCAGTCCGCCAAGCTAGAGAGGGTTCCATACCTGTGGAAGACCTCATGAACGAGTCCTTATGGCCTTCCAACGGGCAAGAGTACCTGCAGTCACCTCAACAGAACATCCAACAGCTACATTCGCCGCCCGAGGTTGGTCAATCGCCTTTGAAGCGTCGTCGCACTAGCAGGCAGTCCTCTTCAACACAAGCACAGGCCAGCGCAACTACACAACTAGACGAAGACGCGATTGCCAACCCCCAGCCACCTAAGCGCAAGCGTGGACGACCGAAGTCGCAACCTCAAATGATTGAGGCTTACACTACCGATGGCTTTCCCTTCCAGGTTTCGTCAGCTCGCCAGTCTCATCTTGAGAAGAACCGTGTCGCCGCACACAAATGTCGACAGCGCAAGAAGGAATACATTGGCGGCCTCGAAGGTCGAGCGCGGGAGTTCTCTACTAAGAACAAGGCCTTGAAAGAGAATGTTGCACTCCTCAGGGAAGAAATCTTGAGCCTCAAGAACGAGGTCTTACGGCATGCTGGGTGCGGCTTCTGGGCAGTCGACGAGTATCTCGCTCGATGCGCCGGAGATCTACTAGGCATGGAGGCACCCAATCACTCGCGTACAACCTCGATGCAGCATCAGTACATACGGCCACGCGAGAACAGCAACGACTCTGTCCCCAGCTTAGGCAGCATGAGCTCCAGCCCTGATGCGGATGACTTTGGCGGCCTCGACCTGCTCAAGAACTACGAAGATGACCTCGAAGTTGAACACTGATTGATCGAACGTACTAGGCGACTCGACACATTTTATCCTCGGCGTTCTATCTTCGGCAATTCTTCATGATACCCCGGCTCTGGTCGCACGCTGGCAACGCCTGTGCCTACTCGCTCTTTCCTTTTTCTATTTTATTCAAGGCGTCGTATGCCATATTTAGCGGTACAAAAGCAGCCGCGAGGCAATGATGTTTCACACTTGCATTGGGCGGTTCAGTACGATTTAGGAACAACATGAAATACGATTATATGGCTAGGACTATAGCGATCCCCATGCTCTCCGTGTGATTCGCAGCAGCCAGACGCACGTTCAACGATGCTTGCCACATGCTTTGATGGGCTTTTGCATTCTTCATCTTCGCGACCTTCCGGTCACATCACAAAAGGGCTTTTCACACAGATTTCCAGCAAAACCAGTCACAGATTGATTTACTCAGTCGTCGGCCTGTCTCAGGCTACGTAACTAGAACCCAAATCAGTTATTGTGGGCGGCAGGATTTAAAGAATGGGAGGCACAGCTGATCTCCGTACGGGTGACGGCGAAATATCTGAAAATGTCAAAAGAGAATCCAACAATCTTCATTAGACGAACATCCAGAGCGAATGGCCAGGTTTCATTGCCTTCCATTGGCTGCATTCGCAAACTCCGTAGGTGGCACTCATCAGGCATGGCTGCAGGGACGTCCGTGATTGGGTGATCCGCAAAATGGGACAAAGGGTCTCGACATCTGTGAGTGGAAGCCTGACATAGAAGGATGACGTATCTTGAAAGCCCAATGTTAGCGTGCTGTTGCAAGTGGAGGCCACAACATGTAACAGCATGACATCTTTCGGTAGTGCGAGAGGGGCGATATGCAAACGGCGGGCGCTAAAGGATGTGTAAGATCAACGGTTCTGCGACTGTTCGGTACTAAATCGGTCCGGTAGCAGAACTGAGTGCTTGCTCGCGGTATGTTCGGAGTCTGCGAGATTCGCCACCTCTATGCGTACGAGGCTTCTGACAGAGTTGCGGCTTGTACCCAGCAGCTGCATCCTATCTGACTCTGCATAAAGTGCGCAAAGCCACGGACTCTGTTGTGCAGGAGCAGAGTGTTCTGGAACCGTTGTCGCCACAGGATGCTATATGCGGACGTCTACCATGAACCAATCACACCCGGGTAAGGACAGACAGGAAGCGCCGATCAAATCTTACCTACTAGTGGATCCTCATCCGCTCTATCCGCCAACCGCTGTATCTTCAGTCGATCCCATTGGGTGAAAGTAGTCAAAGTGTCAAACCGGGCTCGCGCGAAAGACCACCCCCGCATTCGCGGACCTATCTGTTCAACGAGTTATGGTTCATCAGACGGAGCCAAGAAGTCCTGGGTGTCAATCATCATCACGTACTTAGGCTCATGTCCACCCGTCAGTAGTAACAAGTCTACGATGCTGGTAAGTAGGAGTAGCTCACAATGAGTGCGGTATTGCTAGTCAGTCATGCTAGGAAGAGTGTCGGATGAAGAGCGTCCGTCACAGAGTGCGTGCTTGTGAAGCTGATGTGAAGCGGATACGCATACACACGGTTGCGGGTAGATGGAGGCGATCTGTAGTCCGCAACTTCCCCCATGGAACAGAGACTGCAGGTGTCCTTCCGGCTAAACGCCACGCAGCTTACTGGTCCAGACAATGGGTATGCAGGCGATCAAAAGGAGACAGTACCCGTCGAAGCATAATTAGTACGCATCATTGATTGGGGATGGCATCGTGCAAGCGCGACCTGAGCCGCGTGGGCACGTGGTAAACGCCGATGTTGCAGGTACACCGGACAGTTAGTTGCGAGGCTGAATATAATCTCTATGGAGGTCCTGCCTCTTGGAGAACTGTCTATTGAAGGGCTGGGGCTTGTGGTTGTACCCGTGTTGCTTGTTGCGGTTGAGCTAAACACCGGCAGTCCATGTCCACTAAGCCTATTCAAGAGTCAGTAATACCAGCATACTTTCTGTAGAATACGATATTCGGTTCTGATATTGATCAATGTTCCTCCCTGAGTTTTCCTCATGGCGGTCGGAGTTGTAGGAATAGATTATAAGCACAACAGGAGAAGGCTTAATGGTTGATCGACCAGCCTGACCAGTGGGTGACACCACGCTTCAATCGCTCACAATCGACTTCTGTATCAGTGCTCTTGCTCCTGAAGCCGATTAGCTAAGAAACCACAATTACATATGCCAAACTGATCAGCAAACAGAAGCCTCCAATTGCGGCAGCACCAAAGCCCAGGACCCTCAGTCCCAGCCTTACGGTATTGTCTATACCAGCCATTAAGCTAAATAGCAGCACAATCTACAGGGCAAAGGTTCACGACCTAAGTCCAGTGGTTGATCACGTGATGTTGACGTGCACATTTGGAGGGATGCACTGCCTGCAGAACCACCGCCCTGTGGCCCAGTATCTGCTCTTAAACGTTCGAGAAAGAAGGTCACTGTCCTTGGAAATCATGCAGTCACATCTCATAGCTGTAAGCACGAATGAGTTCTGAAGATCGCCAGTGGAGAGGGAGAAGGGCTTTGGTTGGCAATCGTTCAAAGTTCATTCATTGAATCATGAGACATCATCGTGGGCTCCAGAATCTGATTGCAGATGGGCATAGTCGGTACATAGCCGACCGGTTTTTCGCCGTTGCTAGGGCGGAACTTCTTCTCCTTGTACCAGATGTGCGCATCGACGGCGAGACCCTCAACCTCAGAGAACGCGAAGTCCTTCTTGGGCAGGAAGTCTTAGATGCCCTGCGAATAGTCGGGCGCGATGTTGTACACCTGTGCGAGGTACTTCTTCTGATCGGCTGTTAGCTCTGCATATGTTGTTGAGCGATTTGGGGAAAGCTTACCTGGATGACAGGAGTAGAGACGAACTTCAACATGTTACCGGTGTTCTCGATAGTGTTCATCCTCTGCTCTTCGGTCATGACACGCGATCAGAGCTCAGTAGCTTGCGCGTAGTCATTCTTCTTGCCCTTGTGCCAGTAGTCGGGTGAGTCCTCGATACCAGGGATCATGCTGCCAGGTGAGAATGCGGCAGACTCGACGTCACGCTGGAAGTTCTCGGGGTTCTTGTTCAGAACAAGGCGGCCAAACTCCTGCATGGGAAACTGTGACCTAGGCTAGACCTTCGTGACATCGAAAGGGTCAAAGCCAAGCTTGTCCGGGTCGGCGTCCTCGGCGTCCATAATCTGCACCTTGGCCGTCCACTCGACCTCTTCCCCGCGCTCTATAGTCTACCAAATGTCGCGCTTGGAATAGTCGGGATCTTCACCACACATCTGTGTAGTTTGCTCCTATGTAAACTACTTCTGGTCGTGCTTTGCAATGAAGTGGTACTTGATGTACACAAATCTGCCCTCAGCATTGACCCACTTGAAGGTGTGGCAGCCGTATCCGTGGTTGAAACGCCACCCCTTAGGAGTGCCGTGATCACTGAAGAACATGAGACCAGCATGATTGTCCTCGGGGGTACATGCAAGCAAGTCGAAGACACCGTCGTAGTCGAAAAGGAAGTTCTTTGGATTGCGGTACTGGGATCGAATGACATCGGGGCCCTGGATGGGATCTCGACAGAAGAAGATGGGCTTGTATGAGTCAGCGCACGAGTCATGCAAGTGTCATAGGCAGACCTACGAAGTTCAGTCCGACGATGTCGTAGTTTCCCTCCGTGGTGTATAACTTGATGGCAAAACCACGAGGGTTACGCGCCTCGTCAGGGAACTCGCGTCCGGGCGTGACGGTAGAGAATCGGATGAACATGGGAGTCTTCTCGCCGACACTTGACAGGAAGTTGGCTTTCTAAAACGCCATGGTCAGCTTTTGCTTCATGCAGCGGGGCAAGGGTCACTCACTGTGAGTGATGTGACGTCCTTGGTGCACTCGAAGTAACCAAAAGCACCAGATCCACAAGGGCGCACCATGCGCTCGAGCTGCTTCGATCGGTTAAAGTGCTGCTGCTTCTGGAACAGAAAAACATCGCTAGCTACGGGGATACCGCCAACAGTCTTGCTATGAGCTCTACGAAGAATTAGCTACAAGCTTGGTCAGTGAGCCGAGGGGGCCACTCACGGGTCAGGAAACGGAATGCCCTCGTTATTAGTGAGGTTAGCGCCATCATCTTCACGCTTTCCTCTCTGAACGGCTCCAGAAACCATTGCAATTATGTCTGCAGCGCCCTCGTTGGCACTGGCCATGTGGCTCATGCGAGGAGCACGACCTTCACCCTGAACAGCCCCTTGAATGGCCATAGCCGTGGCCTGCAATGGGTGCTGCAAAGGGTCGTTCTGATTGGTGTTTGCGGAAGTGCTTGAAGGAATGGCTGCGTTGAGTTGCGGGAGAAAATTGGAGTTTACCTTCGTCGAAGGCCCAGCGGGCGCTTAAGAAAGATACGAGGGGCATACCAAGAGCCATTTCGCGTACATGACGGACCCGTGTCGCGACAAAGCTGTCAAAGTGACATACTGTTGACGTGTGGAGTTGAGAGCTAACACAAAGCTCGCCGCGTTCACGTGGCATTAACGTGGGAGCTGCGGCGGGCGCATTCATAGCTTCAAGCTGAGTGGGTGGTCAGGGGGCCCGGTGGACTTCCAGTCGCCATTTTCGACCGCATTGCCGATCTCTTCCGCAAGTTCCCTGACGGCAGGATCAGTCTCAACCCGTCTCAGAAGTAGATGTGAATATCGAGGAATGTATGCATGTAGGCGCAGACGGAGCATTACGGGCGTCGGGCAGGCGTTACAAGTTCGGTATCGGGGGAGCCACGGCGTTTTCATCGAAATCTGCAGGACTATCAGTGTACAATGTAAAGATTCATCAAAAGGAGTGCAATGTGCACCAACTGTCACGTCTGCTATCCCTGGTGACGTTCAATAACGATAGACGCTCTGCAGATTAGTCAGCACTGGCCCTACTTGCAGCACTGCCTCCGTGAGCTTCAATGACAGCTTCATATTGCACCAAACATAACTCACTGAGGATAGTTTTACCTCTTGCTGCTGAGAATATTATTCAACAGCTATAACACGTTGCGAAAATGCTCCTCGCAGCCACTTACATACTTGGCCCATAAGCTGATCCGAAGCCACATCTCGTACCTGCTGCTTCGGCTCTCTGGTTGCAATTCTTGCGTGTTCCACGGCCAATTCCAGGCGCTTCATTATCCACGGCTTCATCAAGCTGCTTAAAGAGTACCTTTGTACGACAGCTTCAACCGTGGATGAGAGCTAGGTTGCCCGAATTGATACTCCTGGGATGCTCGCTCATAGCCAAAAGCTGCACATTATATCCGCACTGTAAGTCTGCTGGCCTGAAGCTAGGGCCAGAGGTTGTATGTCAAGTCTGCTATCAGATTGCGGCAGCGCTAGTGACATGGAACCGTCCTTATCTCATGCATGCAAAACAGAGATTCGATCTTGAGTATTAGAATCAGCTTAAACTTCTAATCATCCAATTGCCACGGCTTCATCATGTCTTTACACGCCTCAACAGCTCCCGAATAGCATCCTGGGGACTTCGTCACAAACTTGTATAAACGTTGCCGCTTGGCCACACACAAGCACGTCGCCATCACTAATACAAAAGTACTTCTGAGAATATCCGAAGACTTGGTGTTGATAGGCTAGTTGCTGTACTTTGACTTGTCGAACTGAGAAAGCCAGGTATCTGTCGTTCGCGAGCTCCTGACATAATTTGTCGATCCCCATAGCAGTGAGCGGGCTCTCGCGAGAAGGCCTGGCATCGTTTATTGCACTGGCGAATATCAAAGTTTCCTGGGTACACAAGAGAGCTAAGTTTCGATCCAGTTTATTGCCACGGGAACCAGGGCACAACGTCTTGTCTGCAACCAACACTTGCTACGTCGCAGACAAAGATGGGCCGCTCCTCCGTCTACGGAGTGAACACGAACCCTTCTTCATACTAAGCTAGAATGTTCCGTGATGTTTGGATCACATGGTTGTCCTTTCGCGCCCTTTCACTATGGGTGTGCCTAGGTGGTCAGGGCGGCACAGCTCTAAGATTTCCTCAAAAACCCCGCTACCTCCTCACCTACACTCTTACCCCAACTAAACCATCAAACATATACCTTCCCCATCTACTCTGACACTGCTGTCCCTCCGCCTCTTCGCCGGACACACCAAGACGACTGGTGATCGCCACTCTAAGTGCAAGCGCGTCTCTGACATGAACTAGACTAGTCACAGCAAGAGTGATGACATGAAGAAAAGAGGTCGGAGTAGTGAAGAGTAGTGCATCACCAAAGATAAGCTGAGACATCCCCCCCCCCTCCCCTCCCATTGGGATGGAGGAGCAAAGATTCAAGTCATAACATTGCAACCGCTACACAGCGGCACACCCTTTCAGACCCTGCCTTTTGAGCTGCAAGAGCATAGCTACGAGTTGCTTGTGTCGACTCCGCGTCTCTTCCTTAACTGAGTCGTCTCCACCACCGATGGTGATGACATGCATGGCCCCCTTCAATACAGTACGTGACTGAGGCGACTCAGAAAGACGTCGCTCTTTCTTTTCTGCGGACAGTGAAGTGTTTTCTCAACTTTCACAACACATGTTTCCGTGATTTCCTGGACAGCATTCTCAACGATGAACGCGAATTGACTTGCCATCATCTCGTCCCTCCCCCTTCCAGCAACATCTTCTTCACATCTCATCTATGCGTGTCTGCCGCTGGCATTATCGCTAGCTCTGATCCAAGCTATCAACATTGGCTTGCTTCTAGAGCTCGAGTGAGCTCGAGGGCACAGACTGAAATAGACCTCTACATTTTACACCAGGTAAAGATATATATCCTGTATGATCAAGCAATGCGACATATGCATGGACAATTAGGCATGTTGCCGGTAAAACAGGGCCAGGACGCAGTCTGAAGGCTGAATTCCCTTCCTTCGTGGCAGCGTAAGATGAGGAAACTACGGAAGCAGGAGAAGATATGACACATAGGGAGGGCTAGCCATCGTGGTAATTAATTGAGCACGCTCGTTCGAAAATTGCTCAAGTAGAGCTGAGCGGCCGAGATTCCGTAGTGCATGGCAGGCACCCGTCCTTATACTAGCTCAAGCATACTCACACGTGATAGCGCAGGAGTGTCGGACCATAGGTAGTGCAGCTGTGGTTCAATAGAGGTATGAAGCAGTAGTTCAAAGCTGTCCTGGGGAAATATGAAAGCTCAAGACTAACTGGCAGGAGTCGCAGATGTCTTTCGTCGCTGCTGAAGTTTTATATACTCGTTTGCCGTCAAGGAAAGACAATGGTGCCTTCTGAGCAAGTGACAGTATGAAGTACCTATTATTGTTCGCAGAATATCGATACCGTGTGCACCCAACCCACGTATAGACTACTCATATCAAGAAATTTAGCACATTAGCACCTCAGTGATCGAACCTAGACTATCATTTGTATCGGTGGCAATCAGACCCAGCGTCTTTGCGTACGCAGCGATCTATGAAAGCTGAGATTCGAGAAATCGACTGTGATCTGTTCGAAATTGCAGAAGATACTTTGGACGACCTTTATCCACTGCCGGATGGGTCCATAGGACGTCCAATGGCTAGATTTGCGTGTTCAATTGAGCTCTATAGTACACCGGTACAGTGGAAGTTCTCTTTACCTGCGCGACTTCGGCTGGAAGACACGGTATTGCCGAGTGCCATCTTGCTGCAGCGAGGACCCAGCAACTTATGTTAGCTCCAGTGATATCAACATGACGTTCAGTTTATATTTTTTAATGCTACTGGTGGCAGCTCTTGTTCACTCTCACATTTTACAGATGCATGAGGGTTCACATCCAACGGCACCGGCTCTGCTATGGACTGGCCTCAACAATGTTTGAAGTGGCTACTGGGCTTCTAACCCTGCCACGATCATTTCCGAGCGGATCATTGGAGATCGCCTGCGGCCCCAACAAGATTCTGAAATAGTTGCTATATTCGCGCGGTGCATACTGAATTTAAAGTCTATGTAAGATAGTTGACTGTCTACCCGATGCATCCGCTCAACTCTCGCGCACTTCTTCCACGCTAAGCTATCCGCGAAATACACCCTTACCTGTAGAGAGTAGTATTTCCAGTGTAGTTGCCACTCTGGGTGGTGAAGCCCTGGGTGCTGCTAAAGTTGTCGACCTTTCCAAGCAGAATCTCCAACATCCTGTAAGCAACACCAGGGGTATATCCAGGCAATTCGTGGCCGGCGAGACGAGCAGTGTAAAAGGTAAGACCACGTTCAGAAGTCCAGACACCCTGGATGCCAGCGCCAGCCAGCGCGCCGCCGTTATACTCGGGGTGATATGGGGCGTAGAGAGGGGTGGATGGGTATTCGGAGAAACCCTGTGCGCCGTTCCAGGTCATGTTCTGGATAGCGAATAGTGTTCCGTTGGTTGAGAGAAGCATGTCCAGATCACCAGATCCAATGATCGTATTGTTGGTGTGTTCAATGACGCGCTGGAGGACACCATTGTTGGCAGGAGGAGGCGATGCATCAGAAGCATCGCTGCTGGCGTTGCCATTGCCAAAGACATTGATATCAGTACACTGCAGCCAGTTCGTGTTGACATCAGCGTGTAGGGCCTCCTTGACGTCCGTGCGGTTGAAGTAGATGACAGCGCCGGGAGGTGAGTAATCACCGGTGTTGACGATACCAAGTTGGCTGTAAGGATGAGGACATGTCTCGGTAATGTGGTAGATGTTGAAGCAAGGATTAATCTCAAGAATCGCCGAGTAAAAGTTGTCGAACTGGTCACATGCGCCAGTTTCTGTGCTGTAGGGGTCATTCAAGACTGGGAAGGGGCCGCTTGGAGGAGGGAACTTGAAGTACGTGTCCAGGTAGGAGGAGTAGTTGCAAGCGTCTTGACGCTCGCGAGCCGCTTCCAGGAAAGTCTCGTTGAGATACAAGAGGTTTTCCCAGAACTCGGCATAAGGCAAGACAACGACTTGTTGCTGAATCGTTTCATCGCCGATGATCGGGTCGTTGATTTGGATACCGGCTAAATTGAAGTACTCATCGTCGTTGGCAGAGATGAAGCCGTGAGCGATGTACGGGATGTACCGACCGGCGTAGGACTCCCCCGTGATGTAGGTCTTCCAGCTTTTGGTTTGGAATGTATCCACAAAGCTCTTGTAGAAGCCGCGGAACTCGGTGGCCAGCTCAACCTACGGAGAGTTAGTTCAAATACTGCTGAAAGACGACAATATGGCTGAATCGATTACCTCATCGGTGATATTAGGTGTACCCTGTGAATATCCAACGCCAACAGGCTGTTCGACCCACAGCATGTTGGTCAAATTGGTCCAGCTGTAAGGATTTTGAACAGGAGCCAGTGTGCCAGCTTCCCAGGTGAAAGGTCCATTCTCGGTCAAGAAACCTGAAAGACTTGAACAACCAGGACCGCCGTTCAGCCTGAAGCATGTTAGCAGAGCTCTGAACCGGGCATGCCGATGATATCTTACCAAATGGTGACGTGTTCTGGGGTTTGCTCAGCTGTGGAAGGAAAGAACCAAAAGAAAAGCTTTCGCGTCTCATCGGGATCATCTGAGATTGGAAGTAGGCCTGAAGCGCCGTTAGCAAACGTCGTATACGTGACTAGCGAACGGCTTACCAGAGTATGACTCGCCAATATCAAATGGAACATCAGGAATACCAGTGCCATTGACAGCAAATGCCTTAGTCTTGTCTGTCAGAAAACGCGATGCTCGCTTCTGAATCTCGGGATGCGAGAACTGGCCGCCAACACTTCGCTCGACCACAGCTCTGGGAAGAGTGGGCTTTTCGGGTCTCTTGAAAGCAAGCGCGGAGGAAACGCAGAGCGCTCCGCTAAAGAGGTTGAGAAGCTTCATCTTAGAACAGATCGTTCGCAAAATGCAGCCGAATGGTCTGAGGACTCACTGCAGGACATGTTGCAGTATTTGAACGTTTTCGAGTGTGACGGCATCGCTGCACCGGGAGTCTTACGCTTATCCACGACAAGAAGGAGAAAGTTCAGAGCAGCCGAGCATCCCAGGACTGACGGATCGATTGCTCGGTTGTAAGGCGTAGGCGATGCTTATTGGCCTAGCACACGATATTGAGTCTTCGGCTGTCCAATGTTGCAGCAAGTTGTGATATGACGCAGTTAGGGACGAGCTCGCACCTTCCCCATGAGGCTTAACTTTCAGGGACGGCGCCGCACGCCTGCCAATACGGCCCCAATCACCTCAATCCGCTTGTTCCTGGTTCGACGATTACGGATAGTGCATTGATACCACCTAGGATGTCGTTGAACAAGCCTCGGAGGGGCGATAGAACCGAAAGCTTGTTGAGCTTGTCGAATTCTTCTTTGTTTGGTAAATTGCGCGGATCGTATAGCACATGTAGGTAGCATTGCCTGGTGCGGCTTACGTACTCAGTGAGCATACGCAAATAAAGATTCATGAATCCTCCTATGTAGCACAAGAACTCTTCTGCATCTCCGCTCCTCGAGGATCGCGCCACCACGGGGACTGTTGAAATGATCGACGAACTTCGCTGGGGAACGAGGCGACACGACAGGCTTTCCGTTTGCCAATAGCTTTCGCGTGTTGCCATCTACTGTTGTAACCACGTGGCTTAGATCACATGATATCCTATTGTAGCAGGTACTGCCTGGTGGGCAAGTGCGCTTACCTCGGAGCTGAGAGCTTCTACAAAAAAACATCACAAGACGACAACAGATAGCAATATACTCGTCGATCACAGTCTCCGACCGACACTGCTCACGCAGTTACAACTGTCATGAAGCGTTGAGAGTCCTCAACGGATGTAAATGAGAGAAGCGAAGGCGCGCGCGCCTCAACGCTCCTGAACGGGGAAGGGTTAGACACAAAGTGCTGAAAATCAAACCTCGAAAACTCCCCTCCACTGACATGCAAGTCTTGCCATCGGAGCTCTCTCGCATGGCCAACGGAAGGGATGCACCCCTAAGCTTACGGCCGGCTCGTGCACATTAGCGGCACAGCTCCGAGCGGCACGGCTACAGTGAGCCACGCGTGTGTATGAATCTAACCAAACATCTGAGCAGAGCAAGACAATATGACTGTATCGAGCAAATGGTTCAGCTCCTCTCCTATGAGAAAATGCGAGAGGACCAATGCGATGAGGGCGGGGTTGTGGCACGGCTGACGCGGCACACTCGACCTGATCAGGCGCCTAGCTGACCGGTCTCCCAGAAACTCAGCAGAGCATAAATAACAAGCTCTCATAGAGTCCGTAGGGCACTTGCAAACGTATCGCAACATCGTTATCGCCACCGCCGCAAGCACCACTATGGGTCACCCAGCAGCCCCTTCAGTCGCCGCACCAGCCTACGACGATTTAATTCAGGAGCATCCCGTGAATGCATATCCACCGTTAGGATCAACATCTGCTTACAGAATCCTCCCTGAGGACGAGCCTGATATCGAGCTAGCGCATGCTCACTCGCCGCCAGCCAATTCGTTCACGCCTCACCAACATTGCGAGACTTGCGACACGCTTATAACAGCGCGTGAGGTCAGAGCCAACGAACGACATTGTTGCCTATGGGTTTCAATCGTTTCCATGACTATCAGCGTCTCGTTATTGCTGTTAGGAATCGTCGCCGTAGGGGCCAAATACAAACACCACAAACAATAAGCTGCGATGACGCTGCTGGCATGTCTAACACCCTTCTGTTGCATCGGGTTCGATTGCGCAGGCCTTCGGCGGCTGAGACGGACTCGAGATACCATGTATCGAACAGGCACCTGTCATATTGACACAATCCTCAACGCAATGAATTCGTCTCTCCTTTGACCTTTAGTCTACGTCCTTGTACATGTTCGCGACCGTTCTGTCTCCTCCGGCGCATCCTGGTCTTAGTGTGCACCCGCGGGGGGGACGCTCGTGTCCATCTCCTCAAGTCTGCGCAGGTCCATGGGTGCATCGAGCAGTGGAAGGACGTAGGGATCGAAGGTCTTCCAATAAGGGTTGTTCAGGTGATATTGCTGGGACTGTGATACGCGCCAGTCAATATCCTGTCGTATCATGTATGTTTCCGGAATTAATTTATGGTCAACTTACGCTTTCCTGCAAGTACCGTTCTACGATGCTGAACTTCCTGGGGTCGACAGTGTCCTGCATGACGAACCAACTGAGCGTCTCCTTGTCCTTCGAATAGACCTGGCTGGCCTCAACAAGCTTCGCCTTAAGCTTGGAGATGCTTTCCTCGTCTGCCTTAGCGTACAGGTGTACAATGATTGTGTAGACCATGATGTGTGGATCTGCTGAGTTGTGCGACAAGCTCACGATAGCCGTGAAGAAGCAGAGTGTCCCGCAATTGAAGAATTCTCACAAGCTCATGCGGAGCTTGTGACGTACCTGAAGCTGTGGACCCCGCAGCCCACATCGCGCGCTTCCGCAAACCCGCCGAGCGATCTTCCATCACCGAGATCTGGATCGCAGCCGGAGTCACTGCCTGCCCGAGATGGGTATGTGCATTTGTCGTGGTCCAGTCTCTATCACAAAGTGAACTTGTTAGGTAGCTGAGGTGCGTACGAGATCTCTGGTATTTTGGGTACTCAATAACATAGTGGAAAGACCTGTACCGTAGCAAGGCGGCAGCCACAGCGTCACCGTCAGGCTGTCCATCATGCCTGCGGCTTAAGATCGACATAGTACTTCGCTATCCTCTGATGCGCTGGAGCAAACCCAAGGTTTCCCTTCTCGTCCTTCCATGTATCAGTATGGAATTCGCTGACTACCGCGCCCTTAAAAGGCGACTCAGCTGTACTCCAGACGTGAATGACGGCGTCAGCCAGAGCCTCGATCTGAATGCCCCTATAGCCACTGACTGCAGCTTCGCGCATCAACCAGCGCGCTAGAGCAGTCATGATGCCGTCGCCCTCATAATCTCGACGCGTCGAGGTCGCGTTGCGGAATATGACTTCGTTCGGTCCCTTTGGTGTCAAGTTCTCAGGATCTCTGCCATCAAGTTCTTCGAGGACATGATACGCCAGTCCAAGATGTGGCAGGGCCGCCAGGAGCGGCTCCATCTTGCCTGTGTCCAGAGCGTTGTGGACATCATATGAGAGCGCCACACTGACAAGAGGGAAGTCCATCTGCTCTAACAGCCGTTCGGCTTCAGCTTCGAGACCCTCCTCTTTGACGCTCGGCTCTGAGAGGTCCCAGCAAAGTTTGCCAGCTGTTGCCTTGCTTTTTTCGCGCTTGAAGACGTACTAGGTATCAAATACTCCAAACGAAAGGCCGCTACCGATCTGGTATCGTACAAGGTAGTCTGCATCGATCGCTAATTGGATCATATCCTTGCCATCCTTCGCTGGATACAGGAATGGCCACACTGTAGAGTAGAAACTGTTGCTGTGGCTTACAATTACAGCAGCCCATTCAGCATGCCTATGTTCTAGTTGCCGGATCTCGTATCGAGGCTTGAGAGACGATGGGTTCGACGAATTTGGCGTTTTGATGTTCGTGAGCGTCGTTTTCGGCATAGTTACTTGTGGCTGAACAGCTTGCTGTTGGTCGTTATCTGTGCCAACAGCGTGATTTTCTCCTGCGCTCCCAAGAGAATATATACACAGACGAGCTGACGGTGCCGCTTAAGAGTAAGCCTATACGCAGGTAAGATGAGTTGCGCCCGTATGAGGAAGCTCAGTTCTGCGAGGCTGCCGTCGGCTAATTTGCTCTTCCTGATGCAACCCGTGGGCGTACCACCAAATCCTCTCCCCACCAAGAATCATTCCTCTTCTTATTTGAATGCTTGGGATATGTCGAGCGCACCTTTAAAAATCAGATACAGCTAGCTGCTCGTAAAGGATAGTCTAGGAGGATTTCTGGGCGATCAGTACCCGTTGTACTTGGTTGGAAGCAGCCGTCAGCTTGAGATACGTCCTAACTTTACCAGTCGAATCAATAGTCCGGTCGCTGCGATCAACGAACCCTCTTGATAGGAGATCCTGCAGCAGGTACATGTATTTCGCGAAGGGTTGGTCGACGCGGAATCGCGACACCGCAACATTTGCGGTGAACGTCGTGCGTGATTCTCAATCCGAAGCTTTGGCACAGTGGAGCAGGTCCCTGAAATTTGTTCCAATTAGCCTCGATAGATTGATCGTGGGCTGACTTCCAGGATTCGTATCTGGATGCTCCAAGATCGATGGTGAGGCACCTGCATCCTCCTGTAATCGTCTTCTTCGTTGTATCCAATTGTAAGCCTCTCATAGGGTGTCAAATCTCATAGCTGTGATTATTTGCACCGGATCACCTTTTATCTCGGCGAGTCGCAGCAGAGAACCTCGCCAGTATGATGTCTGTTGAAAGTTAGCACATCACAGACGGGCCACATCCTAAGAAGCTGCTTCAACGTCATCGCCAGTGAACATTGTTCTGAACAGGTTCCAGACTGGAGCGATGGTCGCTGGTTTCAAGCGCTTGATGAGTATCGATATCGAGGTTCGATCGACCCGCCCTTGTGTTGATCAACGACCCACAACCCGCGATACGAATGTGGAGGCTCGTACGATGGTATGATGCTTGTTGCAAATTCATGAAGTTCCAGACTGTTCAGATTGCGCGCTCGTTGCAAGACAAGCAGTGCGCCTAAAGGGCTCTACCGGCGGCCGTAGGTGATAGCGCTACCGGAAGTTCCGGCAAGGCTGGCTTCGGACGAACGACTCTGACCGTGGAAGAGAACAAACTTTGGAATTTCGGTGCTTACATACACTATCTGAGTGAGCTTGCGGGAAGTCAGGCTGAGTGAGCCGCCCCTGAACCCGAAATCAAGCCTGCGTTGAGAAACTCCCTGCAGTGGAGCCAGGTAATTACGTGTACGCGCGCAATAGATCACTGGCAAGATTGTATCACACGTATGTGAGTTGTCGAATGTCGAACATAGATTTCACTCTCGCTTGTCTGCCGTCTTGGAATGTTTGAGAAGTTTTAGGCAGTGTTCAGAACTAGCTTTCAACCTTCAACTTGTGCGTAAGCCAGGAACATTGCGCACTAAACCACAGCTTGCTGCTCAGGCGAGACGCGTCAGATGTAGCGCAGTCCAAAATCAACAGCTGCGAGTTGTTTCAAACAGCCTTCGGGCGGCTCTTGGGCAAGGAACATGAGTCTTGGGCGCTTGGAAGACCCAGGCACGGCGACGGAGGTCCACAAAAGTCTGGGTAGGTAGGGCTGTTCGCTTGTCTCCTAATGTTGACCGTGCGATCATGCCGCAGTCACCCCGACCTTGTGGAGTGTAATGTGCTGCAGGCTGATGCACTTTTAGATATCAACAAACTTGTGCTGCACGGAGGAGGTGTTGAAGCCGGAGAAATCTGACCGCTGACCCTCCACGACACGATGCACCGTCGAAACCGGATTGAGCGGAGGAAGGCTGGTCAGGGTCTGTAATGTGCAGGTGCTTCGGTGCACGGGGAAAAATAGTGGTGGTCAATACGGCGGGCTGTGCGTGCGTCGACGGACCCTGGAAAAGCCTCGATGAGCTCGGGCGCAGCTTCGGCCTCGACAAGGCCCCTTCATTTTAGAACTTGCCGACCACGTTGACTAGATAAGAGCCCAAGGCCCTCGACAACTTCGTGTAATCAGCAGTTCACACCACGTCGACATAGCTACTCTACAGCAGAATCTCGTCATTCTGCTGCCCAGACCTTGTCGTTCATCGTGGTTACGACGCTACCGCGTATTGATTGGCTAAGCGATCCACATTGCATACGTCCCAAGCCACCCCTAATCCAATCGCGCTATCTATTAAGGTTGTTTTGCCGACCAAGCGACGTGAGCACCCACAACACCCTTGGTACACGGAGTCCCGCGGGCTACATCATCGAACATCCGGTATCCCTCTGTCTGGACACATATATTCTACTGTCCCCTTCGAGACTTACATTGAATAAGAATACTACACTCTCATCAAGCAAGACAACACCATACGACACCATACGACACCATACGACACCATACAACACCATACAACACTGTCACCACTTGACACTGCGACACCAATTTAAATACGCTCCACCACGACTCCATCCTTCAAGTCATTGAACACAATGTTCTCCTGCGCCAATTACGAACGCGGATGCCGTGGACGCTGCAATACAAACGGAAGCAGGTGTGGCGACTGCATTGCGCTCAATCTCCAAGCTCGTTCGAGCAGCACATCCTCGACCTTGTCTACAAACTCAAGACCGGTTGCTCAGTACTCGGCGATGACGTCATCCTTTGCATCGCTCAAGCAACTCAATTCCGCTACAACAAGGGCCTCGTAACCGTCGAGACTGCCAATTTGTAACGACTTTGTATGAACACCATTCTGAACATTAGCGATAGTGTCGTCGAACACCACCTACCATCTTCCATCAGATGACCTTGAGTTCATGATCTGGAATTGCATTTACACGGCGTACCTTTTCCTTCCCCAGCTGTACGATATACCACTTGTCCGGATAGACACAACTAGCGCAGGGCGCTCAGTAAGAGGAGGATTATCATGAGACATCGAAGAGCACAGTGATGCCACGACACACAGGCAGACTAGATCCGCAGAGTATCACAAGGAGATTTACGCAGAATCACGTTGAATCGATACATCTTCGTACGACGACATGCAAACGTTCTTTCAGTCTTTGCCACTCCGTGACCCTATTCGCAAGCTTACCTTATCGTACTGCAATGTTGCTGCGATTATTGCGTGGCCAACGTTCAAGTGCATCGGTCACACGAAACCGGCAAATGAGGGAGGCACGCCGTCTCTCTCCCCTTGAAATGCAGTCCCACGAGCGTACGAATCAGTCACCCATGGTCGCTCACAATCCGCTTGATACCTTCATGTTCTCATCTCGAACCATGTGCAACGCGGCTATCAGACACAGACCGTTGTTTGAGGGAATATCTCACCACCCAGCCTGGCAACATCACTCTATCCCTCAGATCCCGACCTCCTTACACGCGTGTCCAGCGCATCGTCAGAACGTCAGACCGCAAATCCGCACATCTTTCCCCAATCCCCCGATCCCCACAGGCAGGAATGAAACTTCCATCTCGACCACGAGGCTTCCAAGCAAAGTGGGTCAAGTGGGTCAGACGATGATTTATTCGCTTCGAGACCTGCAACAACCTTAGGGTCTGGACGGGCCTCTGGATCGATCATGGCATTTGCGGTGGATCGGTAGGAACAGGATCTTGCCAGAGACGTGGTGAAGACTGGGCCAAAACGCTATGACGTTGTGGCGCACAGAAAGCCGAGCAAACCGGCTTGAAGCGCGCCAAGGACAGAGCGGGCACTGGTAGGGCAGTCCTCATGAGAATAAACATGGTCAAATCTGCATGTGTCGAGAGCCACTCCACCAATGCACAGACTATTTGACCAATCACGTCAAGTGCTGTCTGGGAATCTCTCTCGCCAGCACTTCCCGGACCGCGGTCAATCCGGCAGCGGGCAGCGGGCTTACTTCTCACAAAGTTGTGTTGTGCATTGTTTTAAACAAGTGAGAGCAGAACAATTACAGCTCTGCTTCCGCGAAGAGGAGTCGCATCCCAGAACCGGAAACTGCTCTCCAGCCGAGCTCAGGCACACGGATGCAGCCTTGTGTCACTTTGCATACACCACCAATCAACACCCACTCGAGCTCAAAGACGCTTTTCCTGTGATACTAAACATATCTCAAGTTTGCGTCTTTCATGGCTTACACCTCGATCAATGTGCTCAGAATAGGACGTGATAATGAACATGTTTCTCCATGCACTATCCCATGCCTGATACAGACACAAATCCCCGCTGCACGTATGCTTAACCCCGTGATATGGGAGCCGCGTTTCCATATGCAAACGACTTAAGCACAATCATTTGAAAACTCTTTATTAGCTAGACTCATCCACAATTTCACTATACAAGCTTCTTGCACGTTGGAAAATAGTCGACTCAACATAGTACTCCCGCTTTCAAGATGCAGGGCAAAGCCCATCACTTCGCGACGTCACCGTGCATTACTTGGCATTTTCGATATCTCGCTACTAGAGACAGCTCCTTGTCAAAGACCTTGTAGGTGGATAGCACAACTCAGACAACAGTGTCGGCGGTCACCAGTACTGTCGCTATTCTTCACTTCCAGTTATGCTCATTGCTTACTTCAGGTCCACTTGGCACTGCCAAATCATCGGCCCAACTCCAGTAGCTCACCTTCTGGTCATCAGAGCTCAAACTGTCCAACCTCTCTAGGTCTGAGACTTGTGGTATCGAAGAACTCGTTAGGGGAAGCCTCGTCAAATGTGGGCAGCCAATCTCAAAATACTTTTGTCCAGCAGCACTCGCCGCTTATCATTCTACAACCGCCGCTAGGTTGGCGGCGGATTATACATAGACACAAGGCTTTCGAGATTATAGACACAGTATCACCGACATCGGCAGCAGTACAAATATGACCTGAAACATCAGAGAACAGTGAATAACGCTGTAAGTTATGAAGGCATGGTTCCAAGCTGCGGTCCGACGGGAAAGTCTCGTAAACGTTATGCCCATCCTTTGCTATACATCGTCAACCCATGTATCAGTTTACGCCCACATGTCGACTTACCGTCATGCAAGTACGGATAGGCGGGAGGTATGTAAACGTATTCCATTCTTTTTCGAGCTGTACACAGTTCCTGACAAACCGTATGCTGGTATCAGGAGAGCTTTCGAAACCCAGAACATCGCCCAGAGAAATGATCTGGAATACCATTTGCTATCAATTGCAACACTGGGTAAAAAGAATGGTTCGCATTGGAATCTTGTGGTTAGCAACATGCCTACTCGTCGAATCTCAGCGAGAATGCGTACTTAAAACCCTTTATCGGCTCATGTCCCAAAGGAAAGGTGTCGTATTGTTGACTCAAGTCGGGAATATAGGGAGCTAGAGACGAATGTCGTTCTCGTCAGAGTCTCAGAGAGAGGCCTGTAGCGATAGAAACACTCGGCCTCAGATGGTGCATTCGTCGCTGTTTCCTGCGCCAGCTGTCGTGGGTCAACCATACGAGCAGGCTACAGAATTATTTGATGTGTGGGCTCTAATGTAGCAAACGAGCTTGCCGCCCCAAAGGTGTCCACTCTCATCGCGCAGTCTCCGGAGATAGCAACGGACTGCAATGTAATAAACTCGCGAAGTGGCGATGAAGTTATAATCGAAAAGCTTGATGGATACGCGCCAAGGAAAGTGGGGCACCGATGTGGGCCCGTCCTCGGCCTTTGAAGGTTTCTACACGTGTTGCATGCACAACTATCGTCTACATTGATGCAGCCTTGACATATCACACCAACATTGTTGACCATGCATCCAATTTTCTATGCCATCATAGGCGTTATCATTATCCTTGTTCTCGGGCCCGTAAGTTGACCCAGCTGCAAACATGTCGCAAAGCATGGAGTGCAAACACGTCGCGACATCCGTCGCTTCCGCATGTGCCCCTGACCTGACTTCGAGGTGTACCAATTCGTTCAGCCATTCCACTGACAGTAATAGGCCGTGTTCGCAGACCGCAGTCCTATCCCAGAAACCTCTGGCAAAGTCTCCAAAGTCCTCGCACCAGTGGATATTGAGACGATTCTTAAGTCATCAAAATACGTCGTCGTCGACTTCTACGCAGACTGGTGTCCCCCATGTCGCACTATTGCACCCATCTTCTCCAAGCTTGCCGATGACCACGCGGTATCCGGCCAGCTCGGCTTTGCCAAAGTCAACGTGGACCACGTGAAGGATGTCGCGAAAAAGTATGGAATCACGGCCATGCCTACGTTCTTATTGTTCGAGAACGGCGAGCCGACGCAAGTGAAGGTCGTGAGGAAGGGTGTGGAGGAGAGTCTTGGGCAGGTCAGGGGTGCAGATGTGACGCTGTTGAAGAGCGTCGTGCAGACGTTGGCGAAGGAAGTGGGAAGCTCATAGGCAAGTGCCCCGACTGAGGTTATAGAGTGCTTGCCTCCTATGAGAAATGTATATAGTGTGGGTGTATCTCAACAATGAGCTCATTTGAAAAGCTTTCGAGGGTATTACGTAGCTCCAAAAGGACTACGACGCCTCATCGAGCGCTTCTGGCAACACCTGTACTGAGTGAAAGAGGGGACACGTCTCTCACGTCAGCCTTGCAGATCAACCCCAATCAAGCCAGTCTTGGACGCCTTAGCATAGCCCCGCCGTCAACCGTCAAGCAGCTGCCCATGAACAATCAATAACCTCTTCCAGGACGTCGAAGAGTTTCATCGATAGCACTATGACGGAGTACGACTTCTCGACGCGCGCCGGCTTCCAGCTCGCGATGAAGAACGCCCTTTGTACTTCATCACCGGAAGAAACAAAACAGTACGCAGAAGCAACAGTAATCTCAGATTTCTATCACATCAACAACGGGAAGCGTAACTCGTTCGAGGAGTGGTTCGCAAGTCTCGAAGCCTGGCGCGGAAAGATCACAGGCTACGAGCCCAAAGTGTGGGTTGGAACTTCTGGAAGAGGAATGAATACTAATGCTGGGCTAGAGAGGAGTTTCTGCGTGACGGCAATCAGCTTGCAGCGCGAATGACCGGCGTGCTTGATCTGGGCGGCAAAGATACGTTCTACGAGTGCTTCTTCTTCACCGCGGTTGACGGGGCAAGTGGAAAGCTGGCGTCGTTGACAGAGAGAGCAATCTGGGGAGATGTTGGGGGAGAGGAAGTGCATGGGACTACTTGAGTGCTATTGGGCATATCTTCGTGGGCTTAAATAGGAACGTGAAACCGTTTGATTTCTTCAACGCGTGCATGCATGTGCTTGATTTAATATCTCACTCACAACACTATGATGTTTGTGGTTGATATGAAAGAAAGAGCGACTGGAAGGAAACCGGCAGATACTATCCGCTACAAAAGTCGGTGACTCTGCAAGAGTTACACAGCTGCTGAGCCATGCAGAGTGCATCAAGTATACCCACAACTACTTTCAGACTCAAGGTTCAGTTAGCTCTGAAGTAGAAAAGTGAAGTAGTAGACGCATGGAATTGTCGACTGGGTTCCACAGGGCAAGAAGTGCAACAAAGACTGCAAGTTGTTAGATGGAACAAGACGGCGTGTCCGTATGAGCACATCATAGCAGCGGGGTTCCAAGCACTTATGCCCGCCATGAGACATTGAGCGAATACACTGTACAGCTGAGAGAAACGTATTAGGCCTGCGGGTTGGTACACCAAGATGCCGCTCAGCCTTGTGGGATTGAAGTCCGGCAGTCGTACTCCTGTCAATTGTACAAGTCGGGACAGAAGTAAGAGCTTGCATCTCGGCCGGGACGAGCTGAATACAAAGTTGTGCCTCGCTTGAGTACTTCGAGTGGTGGTGTTGAGGCTACGGGAGAGCACTGCATTACCTCCATCGATATGAGTGCATAGTAGGACCAGGACGCAAGATCAGAAATCGAGGGAAGGTACATGAAATGGACAAAGATAGGCTGGGCGAGTATTATTTTTGCGATGCGTCAAGCGCAAAGGTTCATCTTGAGAACAAGACTGCCATATACCAGCCGCCTAGCAGAACTGCAATGAATGCAATGAGCATAGCATTGCCCTTCTTCGTCAGGACGACGTAGGACAACGCACCGACCATAACCTCCCACCTGCGAGCAGCCTCTTGCCTAGACTTCCACGCCGGATTGAGAGGGAAAGGCGCTTCAACCGGGCTAACGCGGGTAGGCATATCCTCCACACGCAGTGACAGCGCAACCGGTCGGTGGTCTGACGTCGCTTGCACTGGCAGTGCTGTGTATATCTGCGGTTCGAGCTTCGATGTTTGCGAAGGCAGGTACAGTATCCTGTCACACCAGGACGGGTATCGGTGCTTGGCCCATTGCCATTCGTCGTCGCTGCTACGTGACGTCGAGTACTTGTAGGTAGGGGGGAAGGTGATGGGTAGTTCTTCGAGCCCGTGAAGGGTGCGATTAGCCTCCTTCTCTCGTGTCAGCTGGTCGCGGCTGAGTAGCTGCGAGTAGTGCTTCGACGATGATTCGACTGCCGCCATGGACGGAAATGATTCGTGAGCACTCTCACCAGGCGAGGAGTCGTGCGTGCGATAATTCAGATCGCCAAAAAAGAAGACGTGACTTCCTGGAGCAAAGAGCCCGTCATGCTCGCTTGGTGCCTTGCGTGAGCTCAGCAAAGGCGCTTCATCACTCGAGCTGTACATAGAGTCGTCGTGGTTTGCAAATACCAAATTGCGCACGACATTCTCCCAATCTTTGTTCCTAGCAGCCACATTCTTCTCTGACGGCGCAAGATGAGCAGCAGCAAAGCTGAGGTTCAGCGTCTCCCCTGATGCTGATGTTGGACATGTGACGCCGACACGCATAGCCACAGCACCCTTGTTACCCATATTCGAGAAGCCGACGCCTGCGCCTGCTGATTGTATCCACTGTATCCGTTGTGTGAACCTCGGCTTTGCGAATATCATCAGGGCTGTCATGCCCAAACTACGGGTTGCAACATGCTCCAAGCGCTGGCTGCCGTGGCCGTGCAGATCCGCTGCAAGCTGGACGGTGGTGTTGAGGCGGTCGAAGTATGGCTTTAGGTAAGAACCTCCAAGGAACGAGTAGGCAATGGGCGCAATCTCCTGTAATGAGATTGCGACTAGATCTGGTAATGGCGCTCCTTTGGGCAGGGCCTCAAAAAAGGACGGCGCAAGTGCCTGAGGATCGACAAGGGTGCGCGCACAATTGAACGTCAGTAGGTAGAGCTCAGACATCGTGAGCTGTTGGGTAGGAATGCTGGACACGCGCTGGTCAGCATTGCTAAAGCTAGGGTGCCATAGACCAGGATCGAAGTCTTAAGAGGGACCAAATGCCGGGCGGGAAACAGAGCATACTGAAGGACAGGCAACGTGAAATTCTTGAACAAGTCGCCGGTGGCTAATCAAGCCGTTGCTGGATGCGTGTGCTCACTTGCGGCGCGCCGTGTTGCCCAAAGAACACGGAGAACACGGAATGTGTGTCACGGTGTTGAGTGGCCCCGCACAATCGGCCCTCGCGGCACGAAGGAAGGCCGAGCACAAGAGGTTCCACAAGGGTCTTGGGGGTGGAGACAGAGGAGCGGCGGCGTGGAGACAGAGGATACTCTGTTGGATATGAAGGAGTGCTGTTGGAAGATCGCGGTTCTCCCTGCAGCGGTTGTCACTCCGCCTACGTCATGGCGCTCATCAAAAGAATAGTGGAGAGCTTGGGAAGCTCGGGGAGCCCGGGGAGCTCCAAGTCGAAGCTATCGAGAGCTCAAGAACAGCTCTTCGACACCAATCTCAACTCACTTTTTTTGTCGAGCGGTGTGTCCGAGTTCCGCCGATTCTACAATTTGTGCTGTTCATCTGACTTTGGCGAGCCGATCGTCTCGAGGTGCATTCACGGACGGAATCTAGTAGCTTTCTAGCTGACGATACCTGAGCGCAAGCTGCATGACCTTTAAAGCAGCCGCTTATCCCCCCAGAAACCCAACTCGGAACCCCAATTGCACTTCCACCTAGACTTCATAATGTTCAAGGCACAAATTGCCCGCCAGCTCGCCCGCACAGTCAGAGTGCAAGCCCCACGAGCTGCGCTTCGTCCAGCAGCTTCTACCGTTCGACCATTCACCAGCTCTGTGAACCGATTCGACAAGAGCGTTGAGGAGGATCATGACGCTGCGTCCTCATCTGCGGCCGCCGGAGAAAGCGGAGACCATGAAGGCCAATTCGCCCGTACAAGGGAGAATATCGTGGTCGAATACCCTGAGGAGAAAGACCTGCCTCCATCACAGCCAGTCCAGGGTCGTGGAGGGTTCCACTTCAAGCGCACTCTGGCTGCCTTCTCTATGGAGGGCAAGACTGCGATTGTTACCGGAGGAGCTCGCGGACTCGGCCTGGTCATGGCTCAAGCATTGGTCACGTCGGGCGCCGATGTTGCCATTGTCGATATGAACAAGGAGGAGGCGCAGAGGTCAGCTGAGGGACTCATTGACCTTTTCAAGCAGGAGAACGAATCCGGCTACACCAAGTGAGTTTGCGCCAGGCCTTCCTCAGCGCCATGCTGACATGTACCCAAGGCTGCCCAAGGTCACTGCGCACTACTGCGATGTCTCCAGCCCTGACTCCGTGAACGAGTCGTTCGCTGAGATTATCAAAGTTCATGGCAAAGTTGACAACCTCGTTACCTCTGCTGGGTTCACCGAAAATTTCGATGCGATCTCATACCCTCACGACCGCATGCAGAAGCTTTGGGGTGTCAACGTTGACGGCACCTACCTCTACGCGGTCACTGTTGCAAAGCACCTCATGGAGCGCAAGGCGCCTGGTAGCGTCGTCATGATCGGCAGCATGTCTGGTTCCATCGTGAACGTTCCTCAGCCTCAGGCTCCCTACAACGCAGCAAAGGCCGCCGTGAGGCACCTGGCTGCCAGTTTGGCAGTTGAGTGGGCTGAGCATGGCATTCGTGTCAACTGCATCTCGCCCGGCTACATGCTCACTGCTCTGTAAGTCTCTCGATGTCGATGTTACTTAAAATTTACTGATCAGTCTTGCAGCACCAAGAAGATCCTTGACGACAACCCAGAGCTCCAGAAGCAGTGGACATCCCTCATTCCCGTGGGTAAGATGGGTCGCCCTGAGGATCTTATGGGCGCTGTCACGTTCCTCTCCAGCGACGCCAGTTTGTACGTGAACGGTGCAGACCTGCGCGTCGATGGCGCATACACCTGCACTTAGTCAGGTAGCGCATACCCAAAAGTTGTTGTATGATCAGCCAATGTAGAAAGCGGCATTAGCGATAAATATTGTTGTTACAACCACATGCATGAACTGGGCCTTGATGCTATGACGGAATTTGCTAAGGAGTGGAGCCGCTTCACGGGCCGAGCGGCTTGCCTGCAATGTGACCCTTGGGTGTCTCGACGAAACACCGCAGCTTTCAGCCCAGCCAAGAACACACCGTCCCAGGCGAAGAATGCACCCTTCTCGCGCGCGATGAGGCACAACTACATCATACCTGCCACATAGTCCACGCTCGCTCCACTCGCCGCGCTTATTCGTGCACCATGTTCAACATTGGGAATCTGGTGCAGAAGGCCCAGCAATTCATAGAGCCCACCCTCAGCAACATCGCAGCCCCTTCCTCGAGCGACCGCCGACCGTCCAAGGCAACACTATTTCGCTACCAGTTCCGGCTGCCCGACTCGCAGAACCCTCTTCAAGAGATCACCGCCGAGCTTACTTTGCAGCCCCACCACTCGACGAGAGGCCCGGACGAACCTGTGACAGAAGGGGAGCGAGGACAAGGAAATCACTATGTGGGAAAGCTGCACCTGAGCGAGCAGTATCTCTGTTTCTCTACGCAGGGGTCGAGCTTCCTCAACACCGCCAGCTCGAGCTCGTCCAGCAGCTTCACAGGGCAGACACATGGCGCAGGGCCGGCCGGCAATGGCTTTACACTACCTCTATGTGGCATCAGGAGAGTCGAGAGACTGCACAGCCAGAGTTACATGTTCGCGCTCGCCATCACCACGTGGAACGGCATACCTGACTCCAAGACCAAAACGCCTTCTGGTCAAAAGCTCACCATCCAGCTGGCTGGTTCGAGACAGGCCTGCGAGCGCTTCTGTGATGGTTTGAAAAGGGGGCTGAGGGATGGTGTCAAGAGTGTAGACACGCTACGCAAGGTGGCTCTCACTAGCTACTCCGAGTACCTGCTCACCACGGACGAAGAGAACACGGCTGCTACTGGAGATCTTCAGCAAGGGAGAGAACACCCAGATACAGGTCTTGGACTGACTTTCAAGTACCCTGGCAATGCGCGGAAACTGAGGGATGCAACCAAGATACGCTTATGGCGAGAGTATTTACGAGGTAGGCGTGCTTGAATTGTGTCTTCGACGAAGGCTGACAATGTACAGAAAACGGCCGAGGTGCGACACTCATCCGCCAACCAACATTCCACAAGTTGATACGCGTCGGTCTGCCGAATCGATTACGAGGAGAGATCTGGGAGCTCACCTGTGGCTCGTTCTTTCTGCGCCTACAGAATCCAAACTTATACACGGATACCTTAGCGAAGTTCTCGGGGCGAGAATCGCTGGCCATAGATGAGATCGAGAAGGACTTGAACCGCAGTCTACCAGAATACCCCGGCTTCCAGGATGAGGCAGGTATAGGCAGGCTGCGGCGCGTCTTGACAGCGTACAGCTGGACGAACGAGGAGGTTGGATACTGTCAGGCGATGAACATCGTCGTGGCAGCATTGCTGATGTACGTGTTCCCTTTCACTGAAGCGATTTTGACTCTGACAACACAAGTTACGTTTCTGAGCCCCAAGCCTTCTTTCTGCTCTCGATACTATGTGACCGTCTATTACCGGGATACTACTCACAGACCATGTACGGAACCTTGCTGGACCAAAAAGTCTTCGAGTCGTTGGTTGAAAAGACTATGCCCATCCTTTGGGACCATCTCGTCAAGTCTGATGTTCAGCTTTCCGTGGTCTCCCTACCTTGGTTCCTGTCGCTCTACATCAACTCGATGCCCTTGATCTTCGCCTTCCGAGTCCTGGATGTCTTCTTCCTTGAAGGACCCAAAGTCTTGTTCCAAATTGGGCTTGCCATCTTGCGCATTAACGGCGAGCAGCTCTTGGATGCTGCAGACGATGGATCTTTCATCTCAGTTCTGAAGTCATACTTCTCTAGACTCGACGAGTCTGCGCATCCCAAATCCGAGAACCAGAAACTGCGAGCCGTTACACGGTTCCAGGAGTTGATGGTAGTGGCATTCAAAGAATTCGCTGGCATCACGCAAAACACCATCTCAGAACAACGGGCGAAACATAAAGATGCAGTTCTCGAGAACATTGAGAACTTTGCTAAGCGCACATCTATTCGCAATCTTGGCCCTGAAAGCAAGAAGCTGAGTGTGAACGACCTGGGCTTCTTGTACGACAAATTCTACGCGGTCCTGTATGATAGACAGCAGCGAGCAGAGATCATGCAGCAAGAAGCTGAGCGAAAAGCAAAGGTCAGCCGTGCCAAGGCTACGGAGATCATCAGTGGGTTTGCAAGCAGCAGTGCCGAAAAGGGACGGGTGGCCGTGGGCGTCAGTCCAACACACATGGACTATGATGCGTTCAGGGAGTTCCTTGCTGGTAAGTCGGTCTCGAGAGAAGCAAAAATCACGCTAACAAGTCGTAGGAATCGCGAAATGGGCCGTTACTGACTCGCCAACGTCGCCGAAAGAGGCGAATCCCACTCAGACTCACTCATATTTTGGCGGCAGCATGAGAAGTCGGCCGCCAGTATCACCTTGGGGTTCAGGGCCAGAGCCTGCAGATCACGAGTTCCTGAAGCGCCTCTTCCGCCGCTGGGATACTGACATGACCGACTCGCTCTCGCTGCAAAATGTTGTGGCCGGATTTGCCGCTGTCAAGGGGACCAAAGATATCATGTCGAACATCAGCTACTTCTTCGAGCTATACGATGATGATGGCGATGGCAGGGTGGACCGCGAAGGCATTTTGAGAATATCAGAAGCTTTACTCTTCCTGTCGAGAAGAGGACTCCACGAATCTGTCAGCCCTTCAGCATCGTCACTTGATGTGGGCTCTGATCCTCCAATGTCCCGGGACGAGCAGTTCCTCAGCAGTGTCTCTGCATTCATTCGCCGCTGCTTCGAGTACGCCGATCCGGATCACTCTTCGAACCAGAGCGGCGCTACGGTTGGTGAAGCAGAAGAGGGTCTAGATAACTTCGCGATCGGCGACGAAGATGAAGATGACCTTATTGATTTTGGGGACGAGCCTGCGACACCAAAGGCTGAGAGGCCTGCAGAGAATCCATTATCGCCAACGCAGTCTACACATACAATCGAGTCGGAGACAGGCGAGCGACACGAGAAAGCCAAAGCAGCCAATCTTGCGCTGGATCCCAACAAGCCTTTGCACATAACACTGCCTACCTTCCGTATGGTCATTCTAGCAGATGAAGTGCTAGAACAGTTCTTTGAAATTGGCTTCTCTTCGTCCTTCCGCCTGGCCGATGAACCCCTACCATCCTTGATGTCGACATCCTCGAATCTCACTACATTCGCCAACGCTGGCCGACAGATGTCTAGCCTAGCAGGTGGCATGGGCGTGGTAGGTGGTGCAGGTGTTGGCGTGGTCCCACCGGGCAAGAGCATTCGAGGCATTCTCGACAACATTGTCAATGACGGCATGCGCGTTGCAGCGGAGGTTAGGCGCAGATACGACGAAGCCCAGAAAGAGCTTGACGCTCAGTCGCAGCATGCCCGTGACGATGATGAGGATCATGAAGGAGAGGAGAAAGACGCAGATCTCCTCGATGGCGCAGAGACAGCAGATGTTGTCTCAGTTAAGGAGGAGAATCTCACCGACTTACTTTCGCCTGGTACTGATAAAGAGATCAGGAGTACGAAGGACCGAAGAGCGAGCGACGCCAGCCGAAGGGTTTTGGAGTTTGAGAGCGGCAAAGCTTGATCATGTACGAACAGTCGAAGTTCGGCGTTTGGGATCTTCACTTTGTTCGACTGCATCAGGGGAGCGTACAGGAGCAACACCAAATACACTATCGATTTTCACTTCTGCTGCGCGTTTGGTCGTTCTCATTATTGCTTCTCACATTTGCTGCCTCTTTGGCCGAATGCCGCACCCGCCCGCCTCTACCCTCGCCCCGAGCTACCCCGCATACCGGTAAACTACCGTTTAACTTCGCTATCGATAGTTTGGCTAGCAGAAGTGCCGAAGAGATACCAGCCTATCATGATCGTGGCACAGCTGTGGCAGATGGGTGGCTTATGGAATTGGTTGGCTGATGCTTCTGCGGCAAATCTCTTGGCTAAACTAGCAACCGCAAGGTTGGGTATACGGTAACCCACCCCATGCCCGCGTTCCGACAGCCAGACACTAACTACAGGCTTAATCCTCCATACAATATGCTCGGCTATCTCCTCTTCCATTCAACGCCTCTGCTGCCCAAAAATGTTCCGGACGGTGGTTGCTCGCACTCCGAGGCTGCTCTCAATACAACGTGAAACTCGTCGAGGTATCCTCAGCAAAGCGCTCCGCCAGGGGCCAACCGAGGTAAGTTGGAGCTTAGACCCTGAGCTTTGGATAATAATTGACGCGCCAGCAGCCTCCGCTCCTCGAACAGACGGTACCTGAACATTTTGCGGGTATCGTGAGGCAATTCGGCGACCGCAACGCGTGAGTACATGATCTATCGATGCAGAAAGCAGCAGCTTCTAATGTAATGCTATCAGTGTCATCTCGCACCACCAACGCACATCTCTCACATACGAGGCGCTCGATCGAGACTCCAATGCGCTTGCCAGAGGCCTACAGAAGAGAGGCGTGAAGAAGGGGGATAGAGTCGCAGTGTCATTGGGAAACAATGTCGAGTTCGCTACGGTGAGGCAGCTTCGTGAAGCACACAGGGAAGTACGCTAACATCTGCATAGATCACATATGCGCTCTTCAAGCTGGGCGCGATACTCGTGCCATTGAACCCTGCCTTCAATGCGCCTCAGGTTCTCTCCGCCCTCAACCACCTTGAAGCTGGCCACCTCATCATTGGCGCCGAGACGAATCTCCCACGCAAAGACCCTCGATCGAACGTACCTCTGCTCACACATCTCGTGCCGGATCTGACTGAGTCGAACCTGCAGTCCGAACTGGTGCCGTCCCTTAGGAATGTCATCATGGTAGATAACGCGCAGGGGAGGATTGACTGCGCTGTATACAGAAGCATCACAAGATACGAGCATGTGCTCGAGGACGGAGGAAAAGGTAGCGCTCTGGAGGATCAGGGGTTAGACCCCAACGATATCGTGAACATCCAGTTTACTTCAGGTACAACCAGCATGCCCAAAGCTGCTTGTCTGAGCCACCGAAGCATTCTGAACAACGGAAAGAGCATTGGCGACAGGATGCTCTTGACTGAGAACGACCGCGTTTGCAGTCCGCCTCCTCTATTCCAGTGAGTGTTCAAGCGCTACAGCTCTCCTGACCTGGCATTGACACAGCATGTAGCTGCTTTGGCTGCATTCTCGGCTATATGGCAACAGCAACCCACGGCTCCTCCATCATCTGGCCCGCCGAAGCTTTCAACCCACTTGCAACCCTTAAAGCCGCGCGCGAATACAAAGCTACGGCTCTCTACGGCGTACCCACCATGTTCGTCGCAGAGCTCGACCTCCTCGCCCATGGCGCCGTGCCTCGAGATGGCTTCGAACACCTACGTACGGGCATCGCAGCCGGGTCCTCGATACCTGCCGAGCTGATGCGCAAGCTTCATAAGCAATTGAACTTGACCGAGTTGACCATCTGTTATGGCATGACAGAAACCAGTCCAGTCAGCTGCATGACGACAACGGACGACCCGATCGAAAAGCGTATCGACAGCGTGGGCCGCCTTCTCCCACACGTACAAGCCAAGGTCGTCGATCCTAGCGACTGGTCGCGCACACTCGGCATTGATGAGCGGGGCGAGCTCGCTATAAGCGGTTACCTACTCATGAAAGGATACTGGGGCGACGAGAAGAAGACATCCGAAGTCATGGGTGCTGACGAGGATGGCGTCATGTGGATACACACTGGCGACGAGGCGACTATGGATGCTGATGGATATGTGCGCATCACAGGGCGGATCAAGGATCTCATCATCAAGGGTGGTGAAAACATTCATCCTCTTGAGGTCGAGAACTGCCTCTTTGCGCACTCTGCGATTCGTGAAGTCAGCGTGGCAGGTCTACCGGATGAGCGATATGGCGAGGTTGTTGCAGCTTTCGTAGTGAAGCACGATGGCGATGAGGGGAATATCACAGCTGACGAGGTGCGGAGTTGGGTCAGAGAAAAGTTGAGCCATCATCTTGGTACGTTTGCTGGTACTTGAATGCGAAGCATTGAAGACCTACAGTCTGAAAATTTTGCTAACGTGACCAGTGCCAAAGTACATCTTCTTCGTACAAGACTATCCGAAGACACCCAGTGGAAAGATTCAGAAGTTCAAGCTGAGAGAGTCAGGCATCAAGTGGCTACAGGAAGGTCAAGGACTGTAACAGTGCTAAAGCACGGCAAATGATTAATTACACTCCTGTTTCACGCCACTTACCCTTGACATTGAAAGCAAGCGAGAACAAAGTATAGAACATCGCGGACATAAGATCGTGTCATGGGATCCGATCAAGCACGCTTGCGCAGCGAGCGTTGTGCTGCTCAAAGTACCCTTCGGTTTAACGGCAACAACAATTTTTCGAGAACGATCTGGATCGAGGTCCTGCAAGCATGCTATTCGAGGCTCGCGCTCAGCTACGCACCTGCCAGGCAACGGATCCCCGAGATAAGATCTACGGATTATCACCTCCGCTGAAATTTTTCTGGTGCGCCGCCCGTTATCGAGCCCAGATGAGAAAAGCCTGACAGGTTTTTACTTCAAATGTGCTGTAGAGATGATGAGTCGAATCAAAGGAGCAAGCGATAATCAATGCATCCAGAGCTTACCACTGGCTTTGTGGATTTCTTCGCCTCGTTTGCGCTGTGTCTGGGACGGAAAACGATACCGAGTGCGTCCGAAGTAGCCGCTCTTGCACCTGAGCATATCCTCAGTTACCTCTGGATCACATGTCTTCGAGCCTGCGATGACTGTTGACCAAGTGGCGGGCTATGGAGATCAGCCAACCAGTTCTGAGTTGCAGTCAGCGCTCAGTGTTCTGCCGGAATATCGCGATGATCTCGAGTATAGCTTCTTTGTTAGTGGCATGTGTGGGTATCGAAAGGTCTCATGTGGCGAGACGTTGGAGTCCTGGCGAGAGACAGCTTTAATGCCTGACATTTGCAGGCAAAAGGATTAGCCGAAGGAATGCAAGACCGCTGGGGGCAGATACAGTGTCCTATTGTTTCTTCGAAGTACCATTGTATTACCACTTATTATGCATCTATGTGTCTAGCATTGCATTGCATCATGCCAGCCGCACAGACTCTACATCGTGGGGCTATCCTGCCCTACTGCCGATGGCATACACCTCTCTTGTGCCCTTGCCTGTTGTAATGGCATCACTCTGCGCGGCGACTCGACGTTGCGCTGAGTGCTTGCAGGCCGAATATATCCCGCAAGACTGTCGTGAACGTCGTCATAAGTCACGATGTGCCGCGAGCGTGTGGGAATGTTATGCCGGTGCGAGGTCGTCCTGGTCCGCACATTGTGCTGTCCGGCCTTTCCGGCTACTGGCAACTCCGGTCTTTGATCTTCTGCATTACTTTCCATCGGCATCCATGGAAGCCTCAAACGCCGGCTTTTTGATTGGCAAACTGCGCGTCTTTCTCAGCCTTCGCCTCGTGCCTCTCTTTTGTATTCTGTTCGTGTTCTTGTCGTAACTTCCTCCAGTCGAGCTTTTCAAATGTGAAATTCCATATCTTCTCTGCCACGCTTCTGCCCCACTTGCTTTGTGGCCCGTAATCATCGATCTTGCTGCTCTTCTTGCCGACATGTTGCATAACGCTAGGGGTCATGGCGTACCGGAGCTCGCCGCGCTCGTTAGCGTAGTCTTCTGTGAGTACGTCCACGAAGCCAAGGCGGCGGTCTTTGAAGTATTCGACAAGTGCGAGGGCCTTCAGGTGTGGAAAGACAAACCCTTGGGCGCAGCAACCGAACTCAGACATTTCAGCTACACCAGTAGGTATGGGCATAACCGTGTTGCGACCCATGCCGAAGAAGATAAGGATGCCGGCTGCGAGCAGAGCGTAAATCGAAATGAACGATCGAGGCGTGGTGAGAGTGAGTGAGAGTTTTGTCGTCGGTCGAGCGCAGCGTACGAAGAGCAGTATTGCAGTCGGGATGCCAGCAGCCCAAAGCGAGTAGTATAGGTAAGTCCTCCAGTCTTCCGCGTTCCAGCCAAAGAATTCTTCCGTGTAGAACAAACGCAGGTAGAGGAAATCTGCCCTTGCGCGACGCTCTGCAGCCTGCTGTTCGGCCTGATTGATTGCGTCCATCGTGCGGTGGTACCACCCATCCATGGCCACGATGTCGTCCTCGATCATGGCGATATAAGGTGTGAACTGCTCAGTGCACGCTGACAGGAGATATCTGTAATCAAAGAGCGCCTTCTCGACGTACAAACCACCCTTGCTTTCCATATTGCGGATGTGCTGCATCTGGTCATCCCCGAACTGGTAAGTGAGGACCTGATCTGCCAGCCCAGGTAGCCATGCCTCATGATACTCGGGATGTACATTCGGGTTTGAATGTGGTATAAACACTATGAGGTATATTTCCTGTCGCTCTTCTGGTGTCAAGCCTTCCAAGAGAGAGCCGACGGTATCTCGCAGATAGTGTACTCCCTCACGCTTGAAGGAAGGTATGCCGACACATAATTTTCGATTCCTCTCGGGGCCAGATTTGACTATCTCGTGACTCGGCGCATCGTGGTAGGCTTGTAAAAATTCTTCGGCCTGCTGGCGTCGGATAGCAGAGTATCTAGCAGCGTATCCCTTGCGAGGGTTGAAGAAGAACGAGGTCGGGTCGCGAGCAGATACCGCGTTAATCGTGTAGAGAATTGTGAACGTGATGAAGACAGCGATGCCCACAATCGTGCGCGCCGAGAAATGCATCGTTCCTAATCGTAAGCGAGTGACTGGGTGCGATATATTGGCCGGTAAAGCTACAAGAGCATTATCAAAATTATAGGCGGTATGAGGTGGAAGAGCAGCGGGACGCAGATAGGACGGCTATGGCATGGTGTAAGTGAGGTATGAGAGAAATTGAGGAACGCCGAAAAAAGAACAGGAAACAACAGCCATGACGACCCACGAGCCAGGCTTTACGGGAGTCAGGCACTCGCTGATCCTTCCCGCATTAAAGCTCCGTGGGGGAAAGTGGTGGGCAGAGGTTAAATTTAGTGGTGTGCAGGGGTTCAGTTGCTTGCGTGGCTTCAGCTTGGACCTTCCAGCGTCCTCGTGTAACGGCTCTTCATTCCTCTCAACAGTCTGGATGAAGACTCCTTATTAACTGTATGCGCTTCTGTCCAGGTCACATAGCTGCCGGCATGGTTCTGTGTACGAGGGGACTTGTGGCTGGATTATCAATGCCAATTCGCTTGAAAAGCCTTTGACAGCGGGCCGTTTAGAGCCAGGTCTTGGTGGCTCAGTCATAGCTTGAGACGCCCCAACGGGGGTGCCGCTGCATCCAAGAATGCTTTTCAATCTCACATGGAATGGACCAACGATGACCGGAAGATAGCAGGACTATGGCACCGGCAGATACGAGGCGGCGTTGATGAGGGTAGCCGTCGCAGCGATGCTATTGTCCTCACGGTATCTGCCGAGCTATACTGGCGCAAAGCCGAGACAAGGTTCAAGTGGCAAAGAAAATGCATACCTATGTACGCAGATGACTGTGCGTTGTTGAGCTGCAGTACCAATAATGTTGGGTGACTTCATCGCGATAAGGAGTTCGAGTCCGAGCTTTCAAGGCCTGCCAAGCATTAGGCATTCTCGATCCGTGAACCAACACCGCGTCTGCGATCCTCACAATCCGTTGTTTGTACATATGCATGCAGTCGTAACTTCTCTACAATTGGAGATCCACCAACTGAAAGGACTTGCCATGCGATGGATGCGCAGACATGGGAGTCACATTTTATCCAAGCTGTGTTCGGGTACCTTGTAGCGTCATGACGACCATCAACACCAGAGACGAGCTTCTCTTCCATCTTCATCGACAGCACGCTACGTGCCGACCATTCATCGTATCTTCTACGCTCATATCGAACGCATCAGCATACAAGCTTGGAGCTTCTGCTATATTCAGTCGCTCGCGCATTTGACTCATAGGAACCGATTTGCGCTTGCCATAATAATTACTCATATACCATTAACCTTTGCGCTCTAAGCTCACTCGGCGACGCCTCGTGCACGGCCATGCCCAAGAAGCATGCGCCAGCCTACACGCAAGCTAAGCCGAGCTATGTCCATCCATCCCTCCAAAGCTCACGAGCTTCGTCGTCATCAACACCGTCCGAGCCACAGACCGTCAATCAGCGCATACAACAACTCCGCCGGGAGCAGACACCACGAGCGACGCCAGAACAAAGGGACGAGCTCACATCGGCAGTAAGCAGTCGTACTGTCCCGCCAGACTTGCGGCGCATCCTGCATATACCCGAGGTAAACGCTCCTAAGCCAAAGCCAGGCTTGCGTTCACGGCGAGCAATTGGCAGTGCAAGACCGCCACCAGGTCCAGCAGCGCCAACCAGCTGGCTTTTATCTAGCCGCCATGCACCGGACTATGTGCGGAAGATGAGAAGGCAGCAGTCTGGCGACGGAGGTGGCGCGCCAAAGTTCTGTATGCTCGTCAGAGCGACAGACGATGAATACAAGGTGCGTTCACGCAGAATTCGGTTTTCAATCTTTGAGTGTACTAGCATAGCTTGCTTATTATTGACGCAGCGCCTTCCACCGAGTCGAAGCCTTGCGGGGGCCTGTTTGAGAACGTTTGCATTACATTGGGAAGAACTCGCTGAATTCGAGCAACATTACCTCCCTACCGTACCTATATCGCTGAGGGAGGCTTTGCTAAGCTATCTGGCTGCTTTTGGGGCCAAGGAATGCCTGAACTTCAGATCATTCAGGATATTATTCCAGAATGAAGAGGGTACTGGCACTTCAGGCTGGGACGAGGTTCGTCTTCTGGATTTCACTGGGCTCCTGAGTGAAGCTTTTACCATCGCAGAGGTGGGAAAATGCCTCAAGCGGTATACACTGCAACTACCAAGTGCCAAGGGCTTGCAAATCGACAAGTCGACAAGCAAAGGGAAGGGGAAACTGGTAGAGATTGCTGAATCCTGGGAAGAGGAGGTCGAGGGATCATCGGGTGCCCAGCCTGTCTTGACTGCAACGCTTACAACACCATACTTCGCCAATCTCAGCAGGTTATCGCTTGCGCGCCCAGGTGCGTGGGCATCTTGGCCAGAACTATTGAAGATCTCTTCAAGCCTGAACAAGATAACACACCTTTCACTCGCTTACTGGCCGCGGCCATCTACAACACCTAACGCCGCAACGACATCCATGGTATCAAACGTTGCCACAGTCTCACTCGGTGGCTCTCACTTCTACTCCGATCTTGACGACGATTGGCACGAAGCCACCAACATTCTACGCCGTTTCTCGACCAACACATACTCGTTGCAGTGGCTTGATCTGGAAGGATGTTCCTGGCTGAAGGCTTTGAGCTGGCGTTCAGATGCGCTTCTGTCAGTGTCAAGATCTGACCACGATCCCGAAGAATGGAAATACCACACAGCATCGCCTGGTCCAGACTGGAACGATGCATGGCGGCGAATCACATATTTGAACTTCTTTCAGGGCTGGATACCAGCGGATACTCAATCGCTGCAGAACATACCCGCCGGGATGGTACCGGTGCAACTGATGCGCTGGCTACGAGAGAATAAGGCTGACGACGAAGTGAACTGGAAGTTGAATGCACACGAGACTGGACACGCCGTGACTGAGTGGATCAGCCGAGAGAAGATGGCAAGAAGTGTAAGACAGGAAATTCTTGCTGCTCGACGAGCTGGAGAAGGTGCGTGGTGTCGCATTGACCACGGGTGGGGCAATCCAGGTGAATCAAAGGCCTCGTGAAGATCGCAAAAGGCTTCGGTACAGTTCGCAGTACGTTGAAATTTAGGATGGTTGAGAAACTTCCCATGTTCCACAATTGGCTTGGCATCTGAATATCAAGTTAGCCTCCAAAATACCCCACTTACCTGCCCATCTTCGACCGTCTGCACAATGGGCGCATCAGCTGACGAGGACTGGGAGTACGAGTACGATGAGGTCGAAACAGACGACTTCTACATCCCCATTGATCTGTCGAACGTCCCGAAAGGCCAGAAACACGTCGACAGCGATCGTCGCACTGGCCATCCCACACTCCTGAAGAGTCGATTGCGCGCTCTCAACGCGCAGCGTGGCCAGCAAAAAGATGCGCCCACGATCGAAAATGCCCGCATCAATGCCAACGGTGAGGAGGCAACAACTTTGGGCGAAGCACAGATTATCGGTCTGCACACCGAGAACCCGCTGGTAATGTACAACGGCCAATTGCTGAGTCTTCAGTGGGCGTCGACAATTGGAACGGACATGTACTTTGCAAAGCCGGACGCCGACACGGACTCCGGAGAAAAGCCACTTCGGTCGCTACCAAACGTGGACTTGTTAGCCATGAGCTCTGCGAAGCTGGTAGCTAAAGTTGGGCGCTTGCGACCTGGAGACGATCTCTTCAAGAGTCCTGTTGAGGCAGAAGCTGCGCAACCTGAGGTGATTGCGCAAGACCTTGCTGCAACTTTGACACCGCCTCCAACTAGCTTCCTTGCAAGACTGAATGCAGCAAAGGCCAAGCGAGGCGATTCGATGCGCCTCGCGATCTCCAAGTCGGAAGATGGCTCTCGGCTGGTGTCTGAGGTGGCAGGCGCTGACGCTGTACCATCAGCCGCATCCGGATCTGGAGACGTTGAGATGGGCGGCACATGAGAGCTACACAGGCGTATGAGCCGATCGCAGGGCGGCCCCGGGACTCACCGACGAGCGATACATGAAGTTCAGTAAAGTAGGACTTACTATTGAGTAGACCTGAGCGTGGAGGTGAATGCAACAACGACCGGTGACTTCCGTCTCATCCTAGCACCTGCCTCCATGAAAGGAGAGCACTCACACGCCCGGAGTCCCACCCTCGTGGCCTTCATGATACCCATGTTGCACTACAAGAAAGCTCAATCGACTAACCTTTTCCTTCTTCTCCACCTGCACTGACTGCCTCATACTACATCATTACCCTATTTACCTTCGACTGCATCAGTTAAGTAGTCCTAAACGCAACTGCCATGGCCTCCCCACGCTACTCTCACCGCACTCGACGAGATAGACTCAGCATCAACGTCATTCCTGTACAGTCGCGCGATGCTGAACCTCAGACCCCATACCTACATTGGCTCTTTGGCGAGAGCAGCGAGGCGGATGTCCACTCACGGCTAGTTGAAGACAATCCCGATGACGTGGAAGATGGCACTGGCTACAGCAAAGCAGATGCCGTGATTATGAAGGAGGTTGCTGCTTGGCTTGAGCTACGCGAACACGACGAGTTCTGGGCTTCAAAACCCAAACATACTGACAAGGCAAGCTGCCCATACCGAAACGCAGGCGTACAAACACTGACGGGAACAGACCTACCTCCCTACAACTAGCCAACTGCTTGCGCGACTGAAAGATCCGGACTCCTCTTCGCCTCGTGGCCCCGATGGTGCCCCAGCTTTCGACGCCCTCGTTCAAGCGATCGCATTACAGCTACTGGCATCGTGCTACACCATTCTTCCTGCATCGAGCGCCAGTCACCTGCCGCTGTTCCAGCAGCAGACCAGCAGGAAACTCGTAACTGCCCTTCGTGCGCATACCTCATACCGTCTTGCACCTGCGGCTGGACACCAGGCTCGCGCTCCGTCAGAAACTTCTCCATGGCCCGGACTCTATGCTGGACCAGAGCCGGAGGAGACTTTGGCAGAAACTGTGAGCAAGCGGCGCCGCTCTGTAAAACACAGCAGCGAGTATGTTCCAAGCCTTGCAGCAAGCGGATGGGCAGATGGCACTAACGAAACGTCTCGACGAAGACCCAGACGCCCACCCTGCTCATCTCTCGAGGTTGGCATCTTCGAAAGACTGACGTGCCAGCCATCGACACCTAGAAATCCTCACCGCAAGCACAACGCCATTTTCTCGAGGATTCTGTTCTGCAGCAAGAGGAAGGGGAAGTGCAGTGCTCCGGACGGGCCTCCACGCACAAAGTCGGACCAAAGAATTGCCACACAGGCGGTACAGCGAATTCCATCCATCATGCGCCTTCGACACACGCAATCGAATCCTCGCGCGAGGCAAGCTCTGACTCCTGAACAGCCGACATCTGATCGGAGCCCCAAGGGTGTCCGGAGCAGCAGCTCCGATCCTTCGATTGGTAGTAGGTTGCGGTATGATTTCGACATTCCCGACATTCGCAGGGTATCGGCCACGCCGAACGCCAGCCACAGAGCCAACAGCTCGTTTTCGGTGAGGGGTGTTGGCAGAGGCGACATGATGTCCTCAAAAGACTACTTGAATGAAGCACAAGTAGACAGGCGGCCGTCGTTGAGTCCTGTGAATCAACTAGCCCCGATACCTTCATAGAGTGGAGGACCATCGCCTTTCAGCGCACCGCTGTTTGAAGCCGAGTATGGGTATTTCAACATGGCCAACGCCGCGCTCCTCCAGGACGACGAAGGCCGCGAGCAAGACGCCGACGGGAAAGAACCTCGCTTCTTGGCAGTCACGTACGACAAGGCTCAATCAGAAGCTCACAGGATCGACAGGCACGATGACCTGGACTTTGACAGGCACGATGACCTGGGCTTTGACAGGCACAATGACCTGGGCTTTGACAGGCACGATGACCTGGGCTT